AATCGTACTCGCTTTGGGTATGTACGCTATAGGATCACGGTTTCACGTTGGTTCGCGCCAAGACCGAGAAGCGCTTGAGGTCGAGCTAGAGTAGCTGCGCACGCACCATGTGCTCTCGAACAGCGATTTCATTTGCTGGACCAAGGACTCGAGCAACAAGTGCGACAGCGGTGTGTTGTTCGAGCGTGGTCGTGTCAGGGAGACCAAGTGGGGGCACATATATTCGCACGGACTATTCGAGGCGAGTCCGACTGTGTAATTGAGACAAAGCATTGTGATGGCCGGAGACGTGAGCTACCTGAGGCGCTTTCGCGTGTTAAACGGCACCAAACGAGAAATGAAAAAGTGAGCGTGGGAACATCTCGAGCACGAGATTGTGCGGACCAAGGATTGCATGAAATGTACAAGCTTGGTGATGACAAGTATCGGGCATACGTTCGAGCTCGACGACAAGTACTCGAGCAAACGTTGAGCTTGACGGTCTTTTGAGCTTGGCTGTTCGTGCTGCTTACTAATGTGCCGTGTCGCTTTTGCTGAGACCGAGCGACACTTGCCATCGCTCATCATGAACATGTAGGCGGAGATGCTTGATACAAGCGGACTGTGTGCGACTACACGATCGTGACCCGCCGTAGCTCATTGTCCGGTCGGCTGTGTGGACAGCGGTAAGCGGGCAAGACCAGATCATGGGTCATTCTCCTGGACTTCCTCCCCCACCATTCAACATGTACTTGGTGCCGTTCGCTGTCTCAACAAAACCGAAAAAGAGACCGTGACTGTGGACACAGTGCAAAACGCTTGCTGGTTTGGACCGGTCGTCACAGATTTCGCCTTTACGGCAACGAAAGCGAGGAAGGCAGTCACGTTGGCATCGGATGCAGACACAACATGAATGTTTGTGTTGTCGCCCTGCTTGTACAGAGAGAACCGTGCTGGCTGCTGGTGGGACTCTGTGTGCGCGAAGATCATGGAACGGTGTGCGCGAAGATGGAACGGTGTGCGTTCGTTTGACGTCAATCGTCTGCAACTCTGTGCGCGTTCTTCTGCAAGCAGACCGATATCAGCGATGTTCTAATTCGCAGCTTCCTCCCGATGATTGTAGCGAGCACGCACTTCCGTCTGCATTCCAGCTGTTACGTGATTACAGCAGGTACCTGTCTCTTGGAGCACCATGATGATACCAACTGCAAGAGATGACGACAAGCCAGTGCGCAGCGGACAATCCACGAACCAAGCTGAGCTGGTAAAGGGATCACGTTCAATCAGAACAGCTTTGGTACTTACTCGGAGATGGACAATCTATTGACTATCAAGTATGGAATGGAGGGCGTCGATAGGGTCATCACGCGTGCTAAGATCGGTGGATTCCACCTTGGAAGATAGCGCAAGATCGTGCGCCAAATGATTGGTCGTGATGATTAGCTTCGAGTGCTTTCCCAGCGCATCAGGATGACCAATGTGAGGAAGGAAGGCAAAAAGTCTGAAGCTGGCGAACGCTGGAATGCTACGTAGCTGCTAGAATATGAAGCTGGCGATCGCAGCACTAGTTGCTACGGAGCCTTCTAGCTAGAATGCTACGTAGCTGCTAGAGTTGCGATTCTGCTGCCAAAACAACCTTCGCAAGTGGAGTATACGATAGGAAGCGCAAAGCACGCGTCAGCTATCGTGGATAGCAGCAGCCATGATGTCGATTTTTCGATGTGAATGGAGAAAGGAACGACGACGTACGGCGTCAACCACGAGACACTCGGTATGGCGTATGCCAATCGCTCTATGCTCGTCTGCAAGAATGAGAGCTTCCAGTCGACGACACAGAAACTTAGCAGTATGGTCTTGTGGTCTGGATGATGCTTCCGCGAAGTCAAGTCAATGCCGCTCGATGTGTTGTATGTACCATGTACACTCGATGCACTTCCAAGGTTCGGGTATGGTATTGATGAGAACCCTGACGGCGAGACGTTCGAGGTGGGCGCATGGCGCGACACACTGCTGCTCTTCTGTGTCCTCAGGCGTGGGTTCGTTGTACTCCGCGCGACTATACGGTGGGAAGTATCGTTGGACCTTGCCATTCGACTTTTGATGCCGACGCTAGTATGTCACATTCCTCAACAAGGAGCTAAACCTGACAAAGGTTTGAAGAGGGTAAAAGAAGAGGTCGATTGTTCTACATCTGACCATGATGAAGAGAGAAACGATAGGAGGATGAGGCAGAGATTGTGAGTGATGCGGAAGGAGACAATGGTGGAGATGAGGCGAGGCCGAGATGGATTTTGATGCGGACGAAGAAGAGGTGGTGGGAAAAAAGTATGCAAGGAGAGAGGTGGAAGAGAGTGATACGGTACCATGCACACGTGTGGATCATCGAGCACATTGGCAAATTTGCAAACTGTACAACTTCGAATGTCTTGGCTCTCTAGTTTGCATTTGCCTGAAGGTCGAGCGTCACTGAGCTCGATGTTTACTCAGCATATTCTCGAGGGCTATGCGCAGTCAGTCCATGACCCGTTCGACGCTAGCGGCTGTCGTGGTATCGAAGTACTTCCACTCAGGCAGCAACTCGAATGACGCGGACGTCCACCATGTCTCGGACACGTTCGGGTATCTTGAATTATGTTTGGCACTGCGGCTTCTTTCCCCATCATCAAGCCTACTTCCTGCACATCCGCCAGTGCTTTCCAGTCCATATTTGCACTGTCGACATGATCAAGCAGAGAGTCAGAAGTTCACAGCTTTTGCTGCATAATGCCAGTGTTGTACCAAATTCAGCGACGACGATTAGAGAGTGGCAGATCGGGAAGAAGACAAGGAGGATGATGTCGACGTTGCTGTCGCTGCAGCAGCGACTGAACAAGCCACACCCTTGTAGATACACGAGCAAGCTATGCGTGAGCTGAGGCGTTGAATAGCTACCAGCTCAGCCATATGTTGATTCCGAGACGAAGTTCGTCACCTGTGACCATGTCGCGTATGCGCTTGACGTCACCACTCGTCACTCTTACGATGTTCTGGCCTGTCGTCTCAGATATCGAGAAGATCCACCAATTGTCGATCACTCGTGAGCGAAAGTTTGATGGAGAAGCTGATTGAGACGACGCGTCACTCGCGGCATGTGATTGCACCATTTGCGAAAGTTGTGGTGCTTTGGTGGCAGCTATGTATCATAGCGTCGGCATCGAAGTGGGAGGCTTTTTTGTCCCGAACCGGAGCGTCTGCGTGCAGACTAGTGGGTGTTTTGGCGGGAGAAGCAGAAGTGACAGCGAAGCGGATCCACAGCTACACATCTCGGCGATGAAGAGGATGACGACGGAAAGACGCTGAAAGCGCTGCTGAACTTGATGCTGTATGTGCTGATGTCGTACACTGCTTTCTCGTTATGACCTGCGTCGATCGTTCGTGAAGAGCTTATCGTCGGCCGACACCGAGCTCATTTGACCGCTTTTACTTGTTGGTAGCGCTCGACTTGATGTGGATGATGTCGATGTTCCACTTCATTCTTGACTAAATGTGCGACCTCTGACATGCATCCAAGCGCAGTCCGAATTGCGACTGTGGAAGCTCGCTCCGTGTATTGCTGCATTCGCTTCGCGTTCATGCTGACGGTGACAGGCATCTGTGGATAGTCGGCGGTACGTGGGTACGTTGCCAGCAGAAGTTGAGCGATGGTGCGGCAACCGCTCATGCGACTGCACATACGAGAACGACCGACTTCTGAAACTCGAGAGAAGCAGACTAGGAGTAGGCACATGGACACGGATGTCCGAACGCAAGGGCGGCATTGCGCGTCATGAGTTAAACAGACTGTTTTGACACCTGCGAGTGGTGATACGTGCGAGTGGCTTACGCAGCTGCACTTGATGGAGAAATAGGAACACGAGGATATTTGTGCGGTACTTCTCTGCTGCGGTCAAGAGAATAAGTCGATCAAGTACTACCTGGTGTTGCCGAGAGGTTGTGCAAGATGGATTGAAGGTACAAGTTACGCTTGAGCTCACATTCTTGGATACTATCATGATGATGAAGTTGCTGAAGCTGCGACGAGGATACAATGAAGTTCGGATGCTGTCCGGGCTATGCGACGAGTAGCGGTTTGTCACTGTCATGTCTGGAGGTGCTGGACCTACCGCACATGCGAAGGAGGAGAGTGTTATGCTTGTGTGGATTGTAGCGGAAGAGATTCTCCCGTTGTGGAGCCGAACAAGAGATGGCAAGACGTTCGATCGTTTGCTACATTCAACGAAGGTGAAACTCTTAGTTAACGGTCCTGACTTGTTTAATTATCCTTACCGGACCAGCTTTGCGGTAAACCCGATCGACAGCTGATGCTGTTGCTGAACAGACTGATTAACGTCTGAAGAATTTGATCGACCAACTTGCTAGGTTTGCCGATTGATCCAGCTCGACACGATGACATCAGTCGACACTGAGTCTTGTTTGGCTAAAACGCAGGCAACCTCTGTTCACCTCTACACTGATTGTTCACAGCTTACAGCTCTGTACGAAGTCGTTTTGAGAGTGTCATGACTTTGGCATACAGTGCTGGTGTAACATGCGCCCTCTTGACGACGACAAGATTGCGCTGATGTTCTTAGCCGAGACGATCGATACACGAGTACTCTTCATTACTTTCACAGCCGTTTGGGACTATCAAGAGTTATCGTCTGATGAGTATCGCCATCTTCCACGTACATGTTTCTGTAAGACAAAAGGTATACTGTGAAGACATGGAATTGATCATCACTGCGCTCGGTTTCCGACAAATGTGCATGCAGAGGCCAAAGCTACAAAGTGACTGACGGCGATGATGTGCATGGTTTTGAGGATGTTTATTCTCGCACACATAACTGCATGTGACAGATTCAGAGCGCGATTTACCGCGCCACTACAAAAGTTTCGCACCAATAAATACCCAGTACCATGCTGAACGCCATAAAGCCAAGCTTTGTTGATAAGGAAAAACTAGACTTGCGTTGTCCGTGGCGCGAAAGCGTAACTTCTCATGTTCATGATCGTACTTCGTCCAACGTAAACACTTCGTGATAATTGTCTGGGATGTCAAACATTTCTGCATCCAGCTGCGGATTCAAGTTGATCGTTTGAAATGTATACGCGACACGAATTGTAAACATTACCGGTAGCTCGAACTTGGCTGGAAAACCTGGTGGAAGGTCCTGTTGAGAAGTCAAACATTATAATAGGTTGGTCAGCACAATGACCGCTTCCTCACAGGCGATGCAGCTGCGTCACGTACCATTTGGAAAAACTCTTCGAGGTTTTTCACGTGATCACCAGTGGTCGAAATGAACTGGATGACAGGAAGAAAGTCTCGAGGCTGGAACGGAAAACTCTCGGCCATGACCACCTTAGCCTCAAACTTTTTGCGCACACGTCGCGTTGACGGCAACGAGGTCATACTTCGAAACTCGCTCTTGATTCCGAATGTGGGGTCGATTCGTTCATTTCGTGCCAGGGAATCGGACGATGAGTGCGGACGACATGTTTTTTTGTCCTCAAACATGTTTATAATGGATTGCTTCAACTTCGCGGTCGGAGTTTTATCTGGTTCGCTAGGATTCCCGCCAAGTCTGAAGTAATCGGAGAACGCTGTGGTAGTTGTAATGGGATTCGGAATATGATCCGAATGACGGAAAGTTTCACACTTTTGCTCGTCGGTAAGTCTGGAAAGGTAACCACCCTTTCTCTGTACATCAATGCAGGATTCTGACAAATTCGTGGACTTGTAAACGCCTTGAGTACCGAGATCAGGTGAAGGAGCAGGGACAATTTCTGAGAAACGGTCATTCGCAGACCGAATGTGCGCCACGTTGTAACTTATCGCGATACCGCTCCGGTCAATCGCGAAACCTTTTTGGGTGTTCTGCCACCTCAGCACAAACTTGCCGTTGCGCTCGACGTCGTACGCCCCAGCGATTTCCACATTTTTCACACCGTCCGTACTGCAGACAGGCTGTTGAACATTCTCGTTAATGTAGGTAGCCATAAAACAAAAGTCACTGCTCTTCTTGGATTGAAACTTCCACCAAATCGTATCGCCTGCGATCACGTTCAAGTGCATTTCAACAATGCGTCCTTTCTCAAGGCGTAGCGTCTGCGGAGAATCCTCGCAATCGCTTTCACGGACAGTGCTGCATTTGCTTCGCGCTTCCCAATCTTTCTTTTCGATTCCATGAGGCACAACCATTTGCAGATGATTCACAAACTGCTGCACTTCCTCAAATGGCCCGTCCTTAGTTGATGAGTGTTTTAGCTTGCGGTCCGGGTTCACGATTGGTCGGAACTGCGCTTCGATCGAAAAATCTCGTATCTTGTACGTCGTTCCTGGCCACGGACATTCTCTGTGTTGTTTCCGGCTCTTCTCTTTTTCCGTGTCTTGGTCAATTCCTGTGCTCTCGGTCCTCTCTCCTCCAGCTTTCACCTCTTTCTGCTTCACAAACTTTAGCTTAGTAGAGACCAATCGAGATGACGACATCGCTGTCGTCAGCATGACATGCAAAGCCAAGTCCATATTTCCGACCGACGAGTTGTGCACGGCTTCCATCACGTCATAAAACTGATGGCTTTCATGGTTCATCACGACCGCACGACCGGCTCTCTTTCCACCATTTCGTCCCAAGAATACATGGGACATGAGTCCTTTTGTCCACTTGAGCCCGTCCAACCCTTTTAGCGTCCAGTCGACCCTCAACTGAGACCCTCGTTTCCAGATATGGAGAGTATCCGACGGTAGTATTCTGGACACTATCGGTACCCACGACTGTGCTTCAAGGTAAATTTCTGCTTCAAAGTCCGGCAGTTGCTCAAGCGCCTGCATGAACATCTCTTGACTAGACGCCAGCGTCTGTCTCAGCTGCTTTTCGCCTTGCAAACACAGCTGAGCCAATAGATACTCGTCGTCGCATAGAGTTGCGTCGTGTGCACAACTCCAGCCATCCAAGTTCCGAGACGCGACATCGGCATTCCGGTCCAAGAGGAGATTTACAATGTCCAGTTGACGAGGCTGCACGATGCGCACTGCCAAGTGCAAAGCCGAATTTCCCTGGACGTCTTTCGTTTCCAGCATTCTTTTCACATTTTTGACTCGATCGGAGTCGCAGGATTCCGAGTCTTCGGTACAGGTGGCAAAGTCGAGGAGTGATTGGATGCGAGCGACGTCGCCATCCCATACAGCCAAGTGTAGAGGAGGAGGAGGGGGAGGAGGGGAGGAGGAGGAGGAGGAGAAGGCGGGGAGCTCATTTCGCGGCAGCATTTAATGTTGAATGGACCTGACAGAGCTCATAGTGACAGAACACCAGAGTTCCAATTGGTGATAAATAGTCGATATATGAGCGAGCTGTGAGTATAGTCCTCGAATTGGTTGTTCTTAAACTGCTCAGAATGAGCGTCTGAGGTTAGAACGCGCACGTGTAATTCGAAAAAAAAGAAAGGAGCAAATTTACAAGAAAGCACGTCCTGATCATATGCATGTGTTGCTATTATTTGTACGGCGCTTTTTGGATGTGAGTATTTTCGCTTAAATTTGTTGAAGTGATTATATAATTATATCAACCGATATCAAGACAATTATATTTCATCAAAACATTTAGGGACAATAATTGCGCTCGACAGACGCGGGCAATCAGTTTGTTGGGCTAGTGCTCGGAAGAGGCGAGACGGCAGCCAGTGAAACATACAATGACAGCTAGTGAGGCAACACGTGAGTTATGTATATACGTTTTTGGCCTCTTTGTGCCGAATGTTAACATACTAAATAGTTACCACCTCCCACCGTGCCTCCATTGAATCGTCTTGTTTTTCAGCTATAATTACTCGCAAATTGGCAAACACATGTGAGTCGTACATACAGGCGTTGCAGGCGAGCTCAGGATCATACAGGGAACCCTATACAACATCTCCGCCTTCTCAAGAAGTGGACACGGCAATGACGAGATATCCGAAACTGTTGTTGGCCACAAGCATGTCAAGTCTAACTCGATGAGCATCACGGCGCAGAGTCCTAAAAAACGCGACTACTTTTACGGCCACCACGTTAATAACGACTTAAATACAAGCGTCGAAGAAGTTGTCAGAAGTTTCGTTTGGTTTACAGACCATAGCGTACTTGAAACATATAAATTAACAATAAATCATAGAGAAAGGTGTTTGGGTGCAGTGGACAATGACAAGATATAATATGGTAATAAACAAAGAGTGGAAAACAGTAAATCGATTGGTTTGAATGCTACTTTTGGATCCACCAGAAATACATTCGAAAAGCTTTTTTATATAACATCGATAGGAGTAAGAGCTGACCGTCTGCACTCTGAATTATCAGCACCTATTGTAAGGGTTTGAGTAGGTTGTATCGTGCTTATCTAAATTGCGTTAAGATCATGATTACCAGGACCAAACTTGTACAGCTGTGCTACGCTTGATTTAATTGAAGTGTGGCTGCATCATGATTCTCGACATGAGAAGCACTTCTCAAGAGTAGCGTGGTGGTCACATGATGTAGCTAGAGTAGACTTGGATAATGTGTTAATTGTCTCCAAGGCTCGTACGTCAAATTTGGAGCCAGCATATTCTGACTCGCGTCACTTTTGCTGGTAGAATTGGCGCCTTGGGGTTATTACCCTTACCGGGTCAACAAAAAATGCAGGACGCTTTTTCATTGGCGGAAAATGTGACGTAAATGGTGAATGATCACTGTGCTACGTCAGAGTATTGTCTGCGAAGACATCCGATACGCTGCTACTTCCAGGCTGTCCATTTTTTGATGAGGACGTTGCCGTTGGTCCTTAAGATGAGCCTGATCATTATCAATCTTGAACTCTGGCCTGCAAGTCAACTTGTTTTGGCCATAAGATTTACAAGCTGCAGCGATTTTGTTTATTTTCAATATCTTTACGGACGACCATTTTCGCGATCAGATATCGTTCAGGAGCATTCTTGCGTTTTGTGAGTAGAAGGTAGTACGGGTAGGACGACTGTGATGGTCTTGAAAGTAAATTTATATTTCGAAAAACAGTGTGTATCGATAGCAGTAGGGTTGACTTACCCGTGCACTCCATCACCAATCAACATCAACTCGAACAGATCATGTCTGCAGTAAAGACCATAATTGGACATACATAGTCCATCTCATCCTATCATGTTTATGATCGGAGGATCGAATATTCATATCCAAGCAACAACAACTCATGTTATGCTGCCATGTATTTAAGGCTCATGAGTTTCAATGCATAACATAATGTTTTATGTAAATTTGCTGAAAGATGAAGCGTGGGGCCACCAGGATAAATATCTGCTCGCGTGCTCGCAAGAGGTAAATTCTTTCGATTTCGTTCAGCAAACTTTCTCTATTCTTGGGTATACTCAATAGGATTCTAGTTGAGATGTGCCCAACGACTTTTTAAACGCAGAGTTTGCGCTTTCGACGTTCAAAGATGAAATATACTCGTAGTGCTTTGTATAAGTCAAATGAGTGCCAACAGATCGTATTTTGTATAGATCCGTCCACCGGTTGTCAATGCAATCAGCAAAAGATCTCGGTATATGCCCTTTCAGCTCTTGTCAGCTTAAACAAAATAACTCCCTTGTCTTGGTTTTCGAATCGGATACGATCAATTCTATAACACGTCATAATTGTCCATTGTGATTCTCCGGTGTATCCTTCAGCGTGGAAATCTTTCTGGTGTTAAGCTTTTATATATTTATTTGTAGATGCCAAAAGTCATAACAAATTGCTGCGTATCAGGAAACACGGCATTGCAAGCATTCATTAGCACTTGATCTGCGTCCGTGCCAATCACTCCAAAGTCGACAATAACTCCGGACTCGACGAAGGTATGCATAATCCACGTCAAATCCTCCTCGTCTGTGTTTTGCATAAATGGGTAGCCTAAAGTGTACTTGATATTTGTGTTGGTCGAGCTCACTATGTGAAGCATGCCAGCGTCATACTTATTGGTCCGATAAGTCTCACCAGTTCAGCAATTGCCGTTCTTCTTTCCTCTTGCAACAACTTCAAAACAGAATAAGGGATGACGATGAGATGCGTGATTTGTCCCTCCTTGAATCATTTGACGCGAAATGTAGCGATATCATCAATTAGATCGCGCATCAACGCGTCCATTTCCGGTAGTCCAGCCTATTTTGGCGCTCGATACTATCGCTTAAGATCAATTAATATATTGGGCGATAAGCAGACAAGAATCGCCGAATGTTTCCCTCCGGTTGTCCAAGATCGTAGCAGTAGCAGTACGGGCTTTAATCATTTTTAAACATACATCGCCTGCTCAGGGGTACTTTTGCGTACACTTATGTAAATGCTTAAGTCAATGTTATCAGCGTGATCATGCTCGCCTGAGATGATGACTCTGTTGTTACCACCAACTTTTTTAATTTCTGCTGTCCACTGGAATCCCTTAGGCGACTTCGCGTTTGTCGTTCAGACATAACGGATACCTTGCGAGATACCTACCCTGCGCATACACAAAAAAGGAAAGTTTTTTTCGAATCTTCTTTTTGGTCCACTGACTGCACTTCTCTTCCTTCTTGTCGGAACTTTTTTGATACTTCGTCTTGATCGTAAACCCATTGATACGGGCTTCTTGGTACAACGCCTCTCGTCCTGCCTGTAGTTTTAAAATGTACGTGAATGATAGTTATAATACCTGGTTAGGTGCGACGCAAAATCTGAAGATTGCTCAGTGATATCTGCAGTGGTTCGTTTTCATTTCTGTTGTCTTCCACATCACCATTTGCATATCCCTCAGGTCCTTGGTTTAACATTCTAAATTTCGTCAAAATTTAACCCACATTTTCCTCTATCTGCACATACACAACTAGATCATCATCGACATCGTCACTTCTCATGCATTTGACGATGCCTAAATCTTCATCTTCCCCCTCATTCACATTGTCACTCAATGGAGGGGTTTCATGATGAGATGGCAGGCCCATCGCCGCAGCATATGTTGATTAGGACGTATAGCTCTTTCTTATGTTAACGAATGATTACTTTCAGTGGTGCCAATTAATACAAGCACGAATCGAGGTTCTTAGACAGTAGAATAACATAGTATAAATACACTTACTCACAGTTTCTTACAAGATATGCCTGACTTCATCATAGTTATAGAACAAGACAATTCGATAGAGGCACGGTGGGAGCTGGTAGCTATTTAGTATGTTAACATTCGGCACAAAGGGGCCAAAAAACGTATATTTCACTCAATTGTCGCCCCATTTGCTGCCATTGAATGGTGCAATGGCTGCATTCTTGTTCCTCATCCGGTACTCCACGATCTACATGCAGAGTAAAATGAAACCTTAATATTGTTGCCAACGTAGTAGCTTTGTTGTACGCTTACTTATGCTTTATAACGTGGTCCTACCATGTTTTACGATTTTACCAGCGCTTGTTGTTGTTGCACTCACCTTCGTCACGACTCTTCTCTTTCGCTGGCCTTAATGACTTGAGTTCATAATTAACACCGAATAAATTTATCACATTTCTTCTCCACGAGGCGTATAGTCGTTCTGACATGTGACGACTAATTTGGATCGAAATCAGTCATTTTACCGCTTTCACGCTTATGAGTGCTAATCTGGTGGCGGTCGTAAAGCGCTACTATATCCTGATTGTTGTCAAAAGTGTTACTGAGGTAGCTTACCACATCGTGTGGACCTAAAAGGTACTTCGCGTGACTGTGATGTTCGATAAAGCGAGGACAACCCATGTCCAGGTGCGGTGTACTACGTACAGGCTACGATCTAGCATCATACTGTAGTCATGTCATTGTGACGGAAATTACGGTACAGTGAATGGATGAATATCGAACGATCTAAACATGGCGAACGTTTGTACAAGTGCGTACCGATTATTGTTTGGCTACAAGTCACGATAGTTTTTCCATGTCGATGGTGCACGGAATATACCCGCGAGGTCCAATTGCGGCAGCGAATGCCATATTGGACAGATTCCTTTATTCATTCCTCGGATGACGTGTTAGAGGGCGAGCGCCGAATGTATGTCCGTGTGTGTAGCATTCACCGACGAGTCACATGGTGGTTGTAGTGGTTATACCTGTAATGGGGTGAGGCCGTTACTTAAATTAATGCGAATTTATCAATTTTGGAATATTACCGATTTAGATAATATTCAATCAACATTAATCGAGAAGAGGTAATGTTGGTAAAATATTACCCCCGATGATAATATTCTTGGGTGCTCCATTTATTGGTCAATGTAGACGCTGCATCAACCAGATTAATCACCAATTGCTGCTAGACGCGCACAATGGGTGGTGAGCAAGAAACCCACATAGGAGATTATAGTTTAATATCGTACGAACTAAGACGAAGATGATTTATTGGGAAACTTACCTATATTGAATACAGTTCTACTTTTTCCCTTACACAGAGCTTCCCTAGCTCTGTTTATTTCCTCGCGCTTCCCCACGATACGTCTACGTGACGTCGGAGGTACGCAGCCTTGTGTTCTATCAACACAAGGTCTTACCATTCATCTGGTATGAGCGTGCCTCGTTATAGATGTTCTTGGAGCGAGGACAATCCATGTCCAGGTGCGGTGTACTACGTACAGGCTACAATCTAGCATCATACTGTAGTCATGTCATTGTGACGGACATTACGGTACAGTGAATGGATGAATATCGAACGATCTAAACATGGCGAACGTTTGTACAAGTGCGTACCGATTATTGTTTGGCTACAAGTCACGATAGTTTTTCCATGTCGATGGTGCACAGAATATACCCGCGAGGTCCAATTGCGGCAGCGAATGCCATATTGGACAGATCCCTTTATTCATTCCTCGGATGGCATGTTAGAGGACGAGCGCCGAATATATGTCCGTGTGTGTAGAAGCGTGAAAAGTGTCCGACGAGTCACATAGTGGTTTTAGTGATTATATTCGTACGCTTATGGTAACTTAGAGTATATAGGATGACGCAATCGAAGCGGTGGAGGAAATGAGGAGAGATGCATCTCGAGTTTGCTGATACAGCGGCTGAACCCGTAAGACGGAAAAGGTCAATGCTTCGAGTCGGAACGCCGCAGGAGCGAAAAGGATACTCTAGCGCTGCAAAGTGCTCTTGTAAAGCTGTAGCCTGTTCATCGATCTATGGTCACTTTGCGGATACGAAGTGTGTCATCGCTCTGGCACAACAAGAAACACACACAATCACGCTTGCAGTAGATCAGAGACGTATAAGAGATTATGGCAAAAAGTTCTTCAAAGTGCAATGTACTATGATAAGCGATCGATACATTACAAGAGCTGCATCACAAGAAAACAATAGGATTGCTTTACCGCATACTTCGAACAGCGGTTGCTTGAAGTGATATTTGCATGATTTCAGACCACCTCTTGCATTCATGTGGGCAACTTCGTCGTCAATACATCGCGCTTTGTTAGTGCAGTATGACTTCTCCATCTCAGGTGGGCGCCCTCTTTTCGCCAATCGGCTCGTCACCACTTCGCGGATGCTGAACGCCATCGAATCTAGAGAGTATGAATAAAGGTGCACTTCACCAGGGAAGGTGTACGATCCAACATGCTAGTCTACATAAGGCTGCAAATCGATATTGAATCTACATCTCCATTCATTGCTTTTTATCGCGTAACGCGCAGCCAGCAACCATTGTTCTTCGCTATCCTCTTCCTTTTGCGATATGCGACTGATGCATAACCATTTTCATGCTGTGTGTGGTGACAACACATGGCGTTGATCTTGTTCTGTATCGGTTTAAGATGCGTCATGACAGTGCATGGCGTAAGGCTGAGCGATATTGAAGTCTGCAGTTTTCATAAACGAGACCATATGACGAGCATTCTCATTCTTTGAAGTGTAGTCTGAGAGTGCAATCCGATTTCGAAAGTGTGCTAACGATTACCATGCGGTACACTAATGGGTAGGTGCATAGTGAAGGACCGCTTACTCGATTAGTCGAGATCGAGTCTCCTGAGCGTGTCAGATTCGGACCATCGCTGCGGTCACAGCTTCAATATTACGACCCCAAGACTTACATCGTGTTTGTTATCTGGATGTAAAGTGATGCGCCAAATCGTCAAAAGTTGATCAGCACATATTGGCAAAAACATACACGATGCACCACCCGTCACGCATAATATGCATGCATCCGACCATCGTCATGCTTAGTATCACATTGACAAGTCGTATGTTGCCGATGTTCATAGAAATGTCGTAGCAAATCAAAAGGTACGGAGCATGTCCAGCGGTTTGGTGGTGTCGAGTCAGTCTTTTGTACTCGTTGACCACTCAGCCTTACATAGTGATGATTGGCGACGCGAAAGTACCTTTGCTGAACGAAACACGAGCTCCACAGCACGAGCATCGTCATTTGTGCTGTCGCAACTAGACCGACTACGAGAAGGATGTAGCACAATGAAGTGTCAGTGTAATGTGCTTCATATATCTGATGTGGATCGAGAGGTCCGAGGTGTCTACGGTGGTGTGCACAATGTTCTTTCCTCAACCTTCTCTACTTGAATCAGCCCGTCCGTCGGACGTCATAATGTCGTATTTTCGAAGGGGGCACTCAACGGTCTGCCTGCGTGCGCATGATAACAATGTCTTCAATGGCATCCAGTGTACCACCAAAACTTCGCCAGTCATCAGAGTAGACGTGCAGCACCAGTCATTGAAGTAAAAGAGCGGCCCCATCGAAATTGGATTGCTCTCGATGCGACCCGTAGCGCCATCGTTTAGACTGCAAACCTTGTGGTCAAATACCTGCTCTCCCCATGAATCCCGTATAATTGTCCCGATAGAGTCCGTATAGCCCTGCTGCTGGAAAACTCGGTAAGTTGAGGCAACTAGTTCCTCATTCTACGTCTTGGGCGTGCGCAAGTGATTTTTTAACATATCGAATGGGCGCAATGGGAACACGGCGCACGCCGCAGACATACCGCCAAATGTGCAGCTGGTGATAGGAGAGCGAGCCTTCAAATTTAGTGTTCTTATGAGCGGTGGATCTACCCTCGACTGCCGATTTGCTGTCTGCGTATCGAGCAATAGTCAGTAGTCATCGAGGACAATATGAGCGGTCACCATTGATGCGTTTGCGCACAATACTATCCGTTTTTTAGAAAGACTTGACAATGACTCCACATTTGGTTTACGAGATCACTAAAAAGTTCACCATTTCGATAACCTCTTGTATCCTGTTTCAAACTCAAATGCGCGATAGCAAACATGCGCTGGCCAAGTCATCGAGGTAGCTTGTCATACCTGCACGGGACCTTCCATGGCCATGTAACGTACGCATAGTAAACCGCTATGCTGCCACAGATACATGTATGCTTTTTACGCATGAGTCTTGTGTCGTGTTGCTGGTATATGAGGTTGCTATAAGCGCAACAACTGCGACCTTTGCCTTTGACTTGATGTTGCAGGGCGATCAGTTGACTCGATACAATGCTACCGCGCTCGTGTCTTGCCAGTCATCTACTAAACCAAACGTGCTCTTGTCTACCTAAATGAAATGGAAGTTGCTCATTGATAGAGCAAGGACGTGTTGCTCACGGCACAGCATGTAGAATTTGCCTCTCTTGTAGCAGTGTCCAAGTTTTAGCCTTCGCAGATTGACAACCTTAACCCGCTTCGTTTTTGAGCTCCTCAACTTTCTATCTGTCAGTGTGGCTAACACAAAGCAATTGTTGTCCAAAGAACCCTGACGTCAATACAAATGGAGCCGACCCGATGATAGCGTCTACAAGGTCTGGAAGCAGGTTAGAAAACAACAATCACCGCAGGAACGTTCCCAGAGTCCGTCCTGTCAACACGGAGCAGTGGGTCTGCAAGAAGCACAGTTCCACACGAAACAATAAAAAAGGAGCGTGGAACAAGTCAGTAAATCGAGGTGACCAGGATGGTAAATAAATTGTGAGGTGCAATGCGGTAAATAAGTTGTAAGAGTCCGCTCGCTCCTCCCCCACCCATGGTAAAACCACTTTTTCTCTCTTGACATCAGCCGGAACAGAACGAAATGGTCGCCGCCCTCCAGACAAGTCGCCTCGCCCGCGCCAGCGTCCAGCGTCGAGCGCTCACGAGCCTCGTGAACAAGAAGAACCTCGTGCCGGAAGACCAGCACCTGTTCACGACGTCGAAGGCCCCAACGTACGTCAAGCGCCCGTCCGACCGTCTCCTGCTCACGGGTATGTTTCTCGGCATGGGTCTGGGCTTTGCTCAGAGCATTCGCGGGGAGATTTCGATGGCCACGGGCACTGGCAAGAAAGAGTGAGACGGGACAGCACGTGGTGTCGTTAGTGCCGCGGAAGACTGACACATTGCAGTAGCCGCAGAAGGCGTCGGCTGTCGTTGCGCGCGTTTCGCTGCGCTTACGTTTGTTTAAGCTTTCGTAAAACCGCCGATTGCAATTTCGATGTTAGCCGAACCGAAACGCGTTGAAATTTTGTTTTGCCTGTGCTTTCGATGGATGTGCGCCACACACATGTGTTTCATTCTGTTTGTATGAAACAAAAGCGTGTGCACGGGGCGAGTTGTTTTAAACACCATCCAGCCCGCGTGCCCAACTTATGACGTCCGCGCGGTCGTCGGTACCCGACCGCGTGAGTTACGTCGAAGCGCACAATCGCTTCGTGGCGCTGGACAACGGCGCTACGACAGCGACCGACGCGAACCCGACCGCGTTTCAGGTCCGCCTGGCGCAGTCGTTGCAGTACATGAAGAAGTGCCTCGAGCAGCGCCAACAGGACAGCGTCTTGTCGGCGAACGAGCGGTTCTTTGAGTTGCACAACGCGCAACTTTACGCCCTGTGCCTCGAGTACTACCTGGGCACGCTCGTGCCCCAGCAGGTAATGTTGCAGCAACATTCGGTCGCGCAACAGAAGCCCGCCACCGACCACGCGCGCACCGTTGCGACCCGCCTCGCGCTTCTGAGCGAAGCCGACGCGTTTCTGACCGAGTTCCTCGACCGCGCCGAGCGCTGTGGGCTCTTGAGCGCCGCGAAGCGCCGCGAGCAGTACGAGCGACTGGAGGCGAAGCGCTTTGCGCGGCCGCGCGAGGAAAAGATTCAGCTGTTTCAGTTGCAGCGCGAGATGACACTTAAGTTGCAGCAAGTGCAGAAGCGACGCGCAGAGCGACAGCGCACCGGACTCGGCGAGCAGAAACAAACTGAAGCAGCAGAAGAAGACGGAGAAGAAGAAGAAGAAGCAGCAGCAGAAGACGACGAGTTGGAGCGCGAGCAGCTCTTGACGTTTTTGGAGTTGGCTGTGGTCAAGTGTCTGGACGAGCAGACGGCTGTGAATCAGGAGAAGGACATGCTCGAGACTATGGTCAGGATGAACGCAGCTACGGACACACAGGACTTGTTCTCGGACGTGCATCGGCCGACTGCGCCTCTCCAGGGACAAGGCATTGTACGGGATGGGATTGAAAGGCTTGCGAGAAGTCGCTTTTGTTTCTGTGTATGTGGCGCATGTTGACTGACGCTATGCTGTATGGCAACATGTGTGTGCGTGTGTGCGTGCGTGCGTGCGTGACGCAGGAGGTGACTCGTATCAATCCACAGATGGAGATGCAGCGTGAGACCATCCGATCGGGAGTGTTCCAACCTGGTCACCGTCTACCGACGATGTCATTGGCAGAGTATGCGGATCGCGAGGTGGCGGATGCCACGGAACGCCAGAAAAACGCGCAGTACGTTGTGTGATGGAAGTTGGAGCGTGGCTGTGTGATGCAATGTATGCACTTTGTAATGTGTTTGGTATTACTTGAATAGGGAGGCACCGCAGGGACCGCGTCGGTATGAACAGCTCGTGGAAGACGGGGACGAGGATGATGAGGCACTAGTGGAAGAGGCTGTGTACAAAGACCGTGCTTGGGATGACTGGAAAGACGCGAATGAAAAAGGTATTGGCAATAAGAAGGGCTCACAGTTTTAGATGGGTGCCGTCTACCCGGTAATCATTAATGCTGGTGAGGAAGGAAGCTTAACACTGCCGGCCGTAATCAAGGCACGAGTGAACCGAGCATTTTCTAGTCCTCCCGGGCTCTGTTGGCTGCGGCAAAACAAACAGGCAAGCAGTAGGTATCGAAACATTGGCGAACGCACGAGGTGTTTGTATGAATACGTAGGACTGCTAGCCCTACTAGAGTGAGTTCATTGAAGAGCATTAGAAAGAACAACCCTTGCACGAATAAAAGTGGAGTCGTGCTTGTGGCGCAATGCCGTGTAACATGCCACAAAGTGCTGTGTCTAGTTGATAAACGATGTCACAACCTCCTCGTGCACTAGAACCTTCTTGATGTTGCAATGCAGTGTACGCACTTGATTGGCAGTGAATACAATCGTTGTTCCACATTCGCACTGCTTTCGTAACTCTCGGTCTCAAAGGTCAATCGTAGCTCATTGCGTCGACAGTCTCCACAGTAGGCATTGCAAAACCTTTGGTCCCACAGCCGTTCGTGGCCGGTAACAATTGAGCTTTCCGTGCCAGACCCCGTACGCCTTTCGTAGTCGGAATTGCAACATTTCTGTGGGGTGATGCACTGCTCGAAAGGTAGGGCTATACATGTCTTGCTTCTAGCCTACAGCTCTCGCACAGTACCAAGCAACTTTTTCGGAGTACGGCCTATGACATTGTTACAAGTCGTCGGTATGAAGTCGCGTGATCGAGAACGCGTCAAATCGCAGGAGGCCCTGCCACATGCAAAGCTAGCAAAGATAGACTGAACCAGATGATTGTGGGCCCGGGAACTTGACATTCACTCTGTATCCGGCATCTCAAAAGGTCGGAGCAAGCAAGTTATGAAAGTCTAGCTTAGAACTGTCTGCTCGACCTGATGCATCCAAAGATTATTTCGTGAGTATTGGTACAGTTGGTATTGCAATGATCAAGCGCTACTTTCGCGAGCGATTGTCATCAGTCGACCTTTTGCTGATAGACGCTCTTGGCGGACTTCGGAGTCACACTAAGTTAATCCACACAGCAAACCCGACTAGTGGTGAAGGCGTTGACGATATTGGGATGCCTTCTTACATCACCAAAATGTGTAGCACTGCAGAGTCCATCTTCATGTGTACGATGCATAGTTTGGTACAATCGACAGCCTGCAACACCACACCACTGACAAGCTGTCGGTCTAAAAATGCATCCATTTGACATGTTTTTGTATGCGCAATGCAGCAAGGCCATTAACAGCTCCTTTGCCAGAGGAAGACTATCAGCTCAATGAGCTGCTTTGTCCGCACTGAGAACACGACTCAATGAGTCTGCTTTTCTCACTGAGCTGCTAGTCCTGTATCAAGGGACTTCTACAATTCAGAGAATGAACGGCTCCAAGTGCTAAAGAGTAAATGCCTTAAGGAGGCCTATTAGTCTAGTGACCAAAGACGCCTTAACAAGGCACGTGTCTTGTACAGACCAAAATGAGAACTGACGTTCATTTCATTGTATAACGGAGATTGATCCTGCATTTACAATAAAATGCAAGGTTTTGCCTTCTACAATAGTTGAACCTAAAACGCACCATTGGTGACTGAAGCGGCACTGACGTAAATGGGCGTACATCACATAATACACGTACCTAGTCCATGGATGTAACACTCACAGTATACCACCGTGACAAGCCATCCATGGTCGCTCCTGTCAGGCTTTGAATTCGCGAGCGCTGGGGTCACGAGCTTTGGTCATTTGAACACAACCGGATCAGCGTAAACTTTTTGTGTGGATAATTGGGGCATGTAGGACGTTATCGCCTAGCTCATTTTTTTTAATTTCCTGCCTTTACCCCTGATTCGATTACTTGCCACGCCTCTTGGTGTGCTAAATTATGTCCACGAGGTTGCTAGTCCCTGTACTGACATCTGACGTTCGAAAGCTAGATGAACAATTGTCAATGTCTCTCAACACATAGTTCGTCGGGATCTACTCACACAAGTATGCTGCTAGGCATAATTTTGAATAAATCTCGACAGATTATACAGATGTACAGTGTAATCCGCTCGCGGATGCCCCGAGCGTCCGTCTGGCTTACGCTAGTTGAGCCACACGAATCCTCTCACAACCAAGTGCGCATTGTGTAGAATGTAAAATCTTTGTTGTAAATGAAACTGGATGTCGTATTTTTCATCTCGTCACCCGCAATATATAGATGTATGTAGTTCTAGTCACGCGATCATAGCTGATGATATCAGTCAGCACAAAAAATGTAACAGATCGCTGGCACGCTAACTTTCAACAGCTCGGCTGATATCATAAGCATTCGGTAATAGTGTGGTTAGTCTGCCTACTGCTTGTAATGGGCCAAACGAGGCATGTAAAAATATAAGCTGGATCTTCACCTGGGCTTGGAAAGTAATGTACACTCAATGACGCTCCTTACTGACCATGAATAGAAGCAATGAGGCATTCGACGACAAGCAATATGTGGTTCTGCTCCAGTTCTTATTCTTGGCGCCATTCCGCGACCATTTCTTTATTAATTGCTAAATGCAAGATTGTTGGAGTATGGTGGAAAAGACAATCGTGAAAGTGGTCGTTTATCCGCCAAAATGGTGCGGCGTCAAGCATGCAATCTTTTAACACGGGTATTCCAGCTATCGTCTCATCTTCTCTTTAAGCTTGCGCTCCGTGCTTCACTCTCGCTCTTTCTTGTCTGAAGCAGTAGACTTGTACCACTCGTGCTGTGTAGCTGGATCTACGTACATTCCTACAAACGACCACTTTTATGTAGCATCTTCATGCTGATGATTTGCGCAAGACTTTATAGTCCGCAAAGGTGCCTGGGATTTCCATGCCAATTGGCTGAGTCAAATCCAATGATCTGCGTATCTCATGAAATATGGGGTTCAAAAAGCGTTGCCGCGCTACCTGCACCTATTCCGTGATATCCGGTACACAAAAGAACTCGATGTCGAATGAACCCGAGACAGTTTTACTCCATACGTATACATCCCCGGTCTTTTACCGTTCTTCATCCCCGTCGGCAAGGCTGTCAAACATCTCACGAAGGGTAACTAAATGAAGTGATGCCAATGACTTCTCCCCATGCATTTGTGGTGTTAATCATAAGATTGGGGCTGCTGTAGTTGCGTGCTCTGTATTTCCTTGCGATTTCGTAATAGTGCAGCGGCGTTGCATTGCCGTAACCAGAGCTAGAACGGGCAGTCGCTTCGCTTTTGCTAACTATAGGGTGTGACTGGGGTGCCATTGGCTCTTCTCCTAGTACTTTGAGCTGGCTTATGCTGTCGACGCTTCGAGATGCGATGTAGGCCCGGCCCTATTTGTCAAGAGAAAGTCTTGATGTCGGCTTTATGTCCGTCGTTTGACAAATATGTTCTGGATGACTCCGAACCGTGCATTTTCGTACCGTTCCGGTTAGCATTGCCAAACAAATTGTAAAATCACGATGATGGAGAGTGTTATATTATAAGAACGCCAAAGGCATCATTAAAGACGCTAATAGTGGTGGTATGGCTGTCAAATCACATAAAAAGTGTATATTGTTCAATTTACGCCATTGGGGCTAGCTGCAAAGAAGAACATCGTCCGCTAAATCGTAGGCACCTCGTGTTGACTTTGCTATCAACTCAAATTATGCGAGATCTTGAGTGTGTTATCACAACTGACATTGAACAACTTGCGATCTCTTCTACACCTGCTGCGCACCACAAATTTTGCAAAGCTTGTTTCCTGATACATATCGACAATATCGTCACACGTTCTCTGTCGCTACTCACCCACTTTGCCTCTCGCCCACTATGTGCTGGAAAGAAGAAGGGGTGTATGCACTGCGTCGTTACATATCGAGCGACAGAGGTAGGTGATTGACGAAGAGTCACCGTGATGCGAAGAGGCACCTGAGATCTGTTCGTAGGAGTTGTAGCGTGAGCGCAGATGCATGCAAGAGCGAGATGACAATATACAGTCGTCAAAACCACATCAACGCGCGCATGTCTCCTTGACGCACACGGATGCAAGGTCAACACTATGAGCTCGAAACTGTCGTTCGTAGACACAATATAACAAGTCGAACCTCTCGTTTTACATTCAATATGCAGCACACGATACTCACAATTTACGAATGCAAAAAAATCACAACGTCGGTCTAGTTGTGTTAACCCAACAAAGGTGCTCGCATTGTAAAGTCGTCTCCAACCTTTCTATGTTTGGCTAATCGGTCAAAGTAAACAAAAGCGTATTTCGGATCACTGAAGAATTAAACATGCTCAATACCTGTCGATCTGCTGCAAGAATATGTATGCCTTTCAACCTATATAATTTTAATTAAAATACTGGTCCACATGGTTGGGGTAAAGTAGACGTGTGTAGTGTATTTGACATTTAGTTTTTTACGGTGCGGTAACACTTTCTTATATAACAGTACATGTTTTGTATTTAGGGAATGCGACTGTGCGATTGGAAATTAGCTTATCGAACAGTGTTACCAAAAATAACCTTTACGTTAGCATAAAGCATTCTTGTTGATGTCATGCGATGGCCATACTTCATTACGATGAATGGATTGACTAGGATATGCATATCCGGAAATGAATTATTATGCTGCATGGTGTATACTCCTCCAGGGAGTTACATGCACAACACCCCTTTTACCAGTGCCTGTATACCCGGACAATCCGTTTTGCACAGAAATATAACAATTTACGCGACGCGGGGCATCGCGCACACGATGTGCGTAATCTAATCACGACGTGTAAGCAAGATCGGTATAGCAACAACACAATAACGACGAAAACACGGTAGATTGATGGCGAGAATAATGTTTAGGCGTCACCTTCTACGCCATAAAGAGCCTCACTTTAGCTAACCGTGATATTATACATATTACTACATGACGAACAGTGCAAACAAGAAATACGCGTCGTTGAAGAAGACCAATATTTGGATGTTTCCGAAGGATTCGATGTGTTCGTAAGCATGTTATAAGACCGAAAGGCACATGTATAGAAAGAGAGCGGGTGTCAGCTACACACGATGAGGAAAATAATTCACATGCTCCCGGGTTAATTTGATGTGTACTCATGCAATTTCTATAGCATGTATAATATTCCAACGGTTGCAAATGTCGTCTTCATCACGATATGATGACTTTTGACCTCATATTAGTTTTGTGCATTCTGTTGGGAGACGTAGATAGTAAGGCCAAAATTATGCTGAAAATTTGAGCAATATTGAGGAAGTTGGAGGCAAAAGCCAAAGTGAGTGAATATGATTATCTAAACTATTCTCTGTTGTGTTCCTTGCTATCCTTGTCCTTCCAGAATCGTCTGCTCGCCCCCCATGGTCGTTCAGGTTAACCGTTCATGCGGTTCGTCAATCCCTTTTGAACCGTGCAGAGCCCGGTGCTTCAACAAGCAAAAGCACACCATACATATTGCGTGGTTCGTAGATCCATTACACGGACATGCTTTGCCTTGAACGACACTTGACGTCTTCTGTTCGTCATTGGTCAGTATGAGCTATTCGTACAAGCCCATTTTCTTCTGGCTACGGTGTCACAGCTCAAGATGTAATTCACTTTGAATTTTTGCTCCTTTGACCATTATTTTCAGCTATGTATTGGCCGCCTTCGCCATATAAGCTATGTAGTACGTATTGCATACTTCGGAGCTCACGATCGACCTAACACGTGGAATCTAGCCATCGCCTGTTACAACATCATGAACAACATACCCCAGAGACTTGTATTTCTTACGTAATATGTGCAAAACAGCATGGCATCAACGATTATCTTCCCTCTCCAAACACTCCGCTGCAAATATCTCGAACCCATGATATCCTGTATCATTGCATTCATTCACCCCCGCGCTCCCTGCAGCCTTTTGTACACATCCATCTCGTCCACACCACATTGAAGCAAAAGCTGTCAGCGCTGATCCAAAAAACTGACTCAGCCCAAAGATCTGCCGACGGTGGCAAAAGATATCGACGGCGCCGTACACCCCGCGCGCCCAGCGCCCTCTACATGGTCGTAAACACTCGCAGCACTAGTCGTATGGCAGACGCTGCGCTCAGTGCGTCGCTTTCGCCGTTGCTCCCGAGCTCTGTGGAGGACGGGACGCCGCCCGGAGGAGACGACAACAAGCGCGTGCGGTTCCAGCCCGTGTTCCAGCCGACCCACACGGTGTTCACCCCCCGGCTGAGCGAGACGAGCTCCCTGCGGTACCGCAAACCGGATGACCGCGTGGTGAGCAGCACGAGTCTCGCGCCGCCGAGTTCTGCCTCTTCGATTGCACAGCCGAATTATGACGACTTCCTGCGACGAGTGAGCGTCGTGCTGTACCAGCACATACGGCGCTGCGAGAAGCGGTCGCGCGAGCAGCAACGGAGCGGCCACTCTGGAGGTAGTGGTATCTCCAGTGCCATTGCTGCAGCTGTGTCTGCGCTCACGACATCCGAAGACCGGGTGTCGACGGACTGTCCATCCCCTAGTTCTTCGACGGAAGAAAGAGCAGGGAATACTGCAGAAGCTATGGGTCATAACTTTGACGCGAATGGAACTGGAGACACACACGAAGCGGTACGGAAGACGAATGCCAGCAGCATGTCGTCTCCAAGACTGATGGAGTTACCCGTGGAGGAAACGTTTCTGGAAGAACATTTCGTCACGCCACAGTATAAGTATACGTTTGTGCGGTTCCCGCGAGTGCATCCCATGACAGTGTATAGGATGGCAAAGATCACGTCGAAACGACATGTGCCAAGCGTGGACGAAATCTTTCGGTTTTGCAAGAACCTTTTCAACAAGGCCCAACTAAGTGCCGAGTGCACCATTGTGTGTCTCATTTATATCGAACGCTTGATGGAGCAAGCGAATGTTCCCTTGCTAGCGGCCACGTGGCGACCGATTGTGGTTTGCGGACTGTTGTTGGCGTCGAAAGTGTGGCAAGATCTGAGCTCGTGGAATGTCGAGATCAGCAATATTTATCCGCAATTTTCGCTGCAGTCGATCAACCGACTCGAGCGACTGTTCCTGCACCACATCCAGTGGGATCTTTATATTTCCGCGACCGTGTATGCCAAGTACTATTTTGCCCTGCGGTCACTGACGGAGAAAAAAGACTTTCGACGTCGGTATAACTACACGATGCGTGTGGATCCGCCCAACTCGAAGCGGCTCGAAGAACGAAGTGCGGCAGTGAAAAATGAACTATACTCGAAAAGTCTATGAGTAGCGGCAAGGAATACAAAATGAGCTAATCAACTCTGGTTTTTGTTTGTTACGTGGTTTGCATCGAGCGTGTCTGCACTTGAAGAAGTAGGTGTTCCGGAAGAGCACGTAGCTGTCTCAAGTACGATTACGACAAGCAAATGTAGCACAAACGCAGTGCGCATCGATACAACGCTAGCCAACGACTTCTACGAAATAAATTTTGCGTTCCTGTACGTGACGCTAAAGAAGATACCAACAGAAGTTTTCGATGGCCACCATTTCTTGATGCAGGCCGTGTGCTCTTCTGGCGTAGCCAACATACATATCGCAAAACATCTTTCCTTCGTGGCTGACGCGTTTGGCGGACATCCAGAAACATCATTGCAAGTCCGCAGAAACGACACATTCGTGCTTCAACGCAAGTCTGTCGTTCACGCACAAAGACTTGCAACGCCCGAAAATAGCTGTCCGATGAATTGCACGCTTCTTGAGAAGGTTATGCATCATCCATCACTCCATGACGCTGGCTTGTCGTCTACGCGTGCGATATATTGCTCAGTATTGACCATTTGCTGTAATAGTATACATAATGATGCCGTTGTGGACAACGAGCCAATGCTAATCATTACATTACAGTCGCTGTCTACCATGCGGAACGCTGGCGGTGTGGATCGAGGCGAGTCAGATTATAGTCTTTGGGCTTGGGCAACGAGACCAGGTCTTACTTCGTCAGCGCAGGTAACACATTGATGACACAACAGCAAGTATGTGGCTAACCGACGCGTGTTGTGAGCACAACTGTGCAGACCACGTATTCTCTGAGCAGCTACGTGTCTTTGTGTACTCACCTGCCAAGCATTGAAAAAGAGACCATGATGCTGGCGCGACCTTCGACAATATTATCCCCAGAAGTTATGGATGGACAACATCATTGTCGATCAAAGACTTGACGTGGCTGCTTGGCCATAGTTACTAGTTACGCGCACAAGTCTTGTCCAGCAAAATGGTGATCGTTTGCATCAGTGTGACAGTCTTTACGTCCGACGCGAGTGTGCTCAGTGTTTGCTCCTTATTTACGGCACTTTTCGCGCAAAGCGATGTCAAGAGTCAACACTTGAGTTTGATGTACCCGCGATCTCATGCATAATGAGAGCTTGTACACCAGTCCTCGCATTCATCACAGAACCAGACATCATTGGTGTAGACCTGGTAGTCCTATCATTGTTCGACCCAATCATTGGAACCGTGACCATCTTTTTGTCATTATTTTACGGCAGTCGTAGCGAGAAATAGTTGCCATTCAATACATATAACAAAACGAGTTGTTGAACTCGCAAAGAGCCGACTTTATCACCAATTATCTGTCCAGCATCTCGATTCACCCCTGTTTTAATTGCCGATAAGAAAGACTGCCACACATATATCGAGAGTTAGTGATATCGAGCGGCGTGGCTTCCGGTCATTCACAAGTTAGTCGTGGGCAAAGATTCTTGCTAGCGCCTTGAGACCGCTCAAAAGTTAATGTCGGTGGTTGGCGAATTGAATCTGATTAAGCAAGATAAAGTTGCAAAGCATCGAGGAGCTCGTTTGAAGATCAACAAAGCGATCTATCTCGCTGCTTCTTTTCATCACAGCAATATTGAGCTTCTCAGGAATTGTAGTCTGCGCGAGTTTCCAGCCAGCAATCGCATACATGTACTTGGAGGCAAGTCGGTAATCTCGCGTACAGTGTGATAGCACGAGCGGTGTCATCACATTGTGGCTTACTGCGCTGGCAAAATTTCTCCTTCACTTACTGACAAGGCACATAACGGGAACAACTGCACGCAACGGCAAAACGAAACTTGAAATGCGTCTGATAAGTGTTTGGATTGACGGGTATGTTCAAGCACGAGCTACGTCCGCTTCGCGTTTGTATTGGCCGCGCCGCTTAGCCTTCTGACCTTTGAATGGACAAAGTCAAGGTTCGGTATCGACGGAAAGCTTTTCTGAATAGGTCGTGCTTTGGACAGAGTGGTTCCCTCTCTCGATGATCGACGTGTTTAAGGCACACTTAACACCCATTAGTAGTAGCAGCTGCACGTTACAATGTCACTGTAAACTAACGACTCGCAATGATTCACTTTAGTTGTTGAACTGTGATCACATTCATAAATTTTCTTCTGCAGAAGACATTGCAATAAGCATTCGATACAATATAAGAAAACAAATGGAAAACATACTCATGGGAAATATTACAACTGCTGACGAGCCGCCGGCGATGCATAAGTAGCTACATTTAACGTCAGTCTTCTGGACAAGGTGATGCAGATCAATCAAAGTGTGAAAAGGAAGAGCAGCTCATGCTGATACCCATCACATTTTTCGATAAAAGTGTGTTTTAAAAGGAGAGACCTAAGCATCAATTATTGCTGAGTCCCTCGATCTGGCTGCGTTTTTTATCCAAATTTGAGGTAAAATGAAGACCAATGGTCAATCCTATTACAAGTACGGCGTATATTAGCATCCAGTTTCACTTGTGTACGAATCCGCATTACATCACGAAACAAAGCCTTGACAAAGCGACCTCATTGTGCGAGATTCTACAATCGGTGTCTATTTTGTGCGAATAAAAGACTGACTTAATTAGCGGTCACCCTTACGCGACAGAAAGCAACTAATTCATTTATCGGCGACGCAGTACTTAGTTACGACAAGTCGTGATAAGCTCAATCGTATGTTTCGCAAGAAGACTGGCTACCTTTTGAAGTGCACGTACATTGTCTTATATTCCGTTTACCACTTGTTATAGTCCCAACAAGCACAACTACCCGCTTTTAAATTTAGCGAGTCGTTATGCCAATCCCATTGTAATAAATGTGCACGACAAGAGCTCACCAAGCTCATTTTCGATCGAACTGATGTATTAAGTACTGCATAACGCGTACACTATGTCGCCAATATAGGCTTTGTATATTCTCTTTGTGAAGTCCAGATAAACAATTTGTGCTTGTAGTATTTCGTTGGACGCCGCTGCTAGCGATTAAGCTAAAAAGATCACCTCAACCACGACTAAATGTAAGTATCCTGGCACCAAAATGGACTTATAAGCAATTGATATTGACATTTTGATTTAGAGATAGATAAACGCAGCTCTTTTCGACCCGAACACTTCGACTATCACTCACAATCTACTTTGTATAAGTCACAGAAGATGGGTCGCGTTGACAGTCATGATCTATATACGAAACTCGTAGAACATAATCAAACATGTTGTATTCGATACCGCTACAATGCGCAATAACCGCAATGTATGTACACTGCGAAGGACAACTGGGCCTGATGCAGGGGCTCAATAAATCTTGAGACTAAAGAAGCTGATAAGAATTACACAAAAATGCAGATGTTCAATTTACAAAATCGAAAGGTGACCATTTTATCTTGTGCAAAGATAAAGTTATTTAACTCAACGTTTGGACTCGAGTTTGCGAGTCAAAATACACACCATATACCGCATCACACACAAGGTTACTCTTGCATTGGCAATCAAGTCAAGAAAACGATCGATCAACCTGTCGACAAAAATACGAAATAGCAGGTCTATAAGTAACACCGCTTTTACTATGTCTCACTTTCCAGCTCAGTCGAACTGCGATATTACATTTTTCTAATTTAGCATATCGCACCGCCCATTTTTGCCGCGACAAATCATATGCGACAGAGAATAAGCATTTTAACAGAGCCGGTACCAATGGCGACGATCATGGGTCTGTCTCATAAGTCTCCGCATTACTTTGCGTCCGTCGAGGCTATGCGCCACCCGTTGAAAACAAGCGCATCTTTGCCGCAGAGCTCACGGCAGTCCATTGGCCGCTTATTGTTTGCAGCCGGTGTAGATGTCACCGGCGTCACGACAGCTTGTGATGATGTTGTCAAGTAGGCTGGTCGGCGAGAAACGGGACCCGCACATGGTTTTGTCACCTGTCACCGTCCGATCCACTCGATCGTCGGGCCCATAACCCGAACACCCGATCGCAGTTGACCGACAAGTCGAGTGAAACGAAAAAGGCCCCACTCCATCGGGCAAGCCATGGCACGCATGTGGATGGTATGCGTTACGAGAGCGAGAGAGAGAGACGAGAGAGAATCCGTGCGCACGATAAAGGGCGTCACGAGGCGGTTGCTCGTCGATTGGACCGAGCTGTGCGGGCCTTTTCGTCCAGCACACGTTTCAGTGCCGAGTCTATCCGCTATTGGTCATGCGCGACGTCGCACTGCCGCACAAACAATCTGCGCGTCGAACTGCTTTGCCAAGAGCTGTAGCTGGCAACTTCGCGGCTGTGTCCCACTGAGGCGAGTTCCCAGCGCAGTTTCTAGAGCCAGAGCACGTGCGCCACTGGAGTTAGAGCAGGCGAACGAGCGCATCGCCGTCTCTCGGGGTGTCCCGTAGCGTCTTTTATGCCAAAGACAGTGCGCTTCAAAGCTTTAACCACCACAAGTCACGAAACGAAGCGAGTCGCAATGCTGTCCGAAAAAGGGCCCAGAAGCCGATGATGGCAAGTACAATGTACCCGCAGCAAGTGGTTTCCATGATAGGACTTTGTACCGGTGCTATAGCGTTATGACGTCTTGCGAGTTTTTGCCAGTCGTGCGGTCGCGGGCAAGCGCTGGACTGGCGCCATCGGGCACGGGGCGCTCCCTCCCTCCCCCCCTCCCCCCCCGACTCCCACGTGTTAACAGCGTTGTCAATTCGCAGCAGGGCCTCTGACTTGTCACCGCACGCGCACAGGCGAGCACTATCGCGGCTTTTGATTGGCTCCGACCAGCTAAAGCCATCGCTGATTGGTCATTCTGCTCCTTGCGGCCTCGTTTTCCCAATATTCCGAGGCGGAGAAAAGAGCCTCTCTGCAGGTTGTGACGACCCACTCGAACTGTCGGTCGGTCGGTCGGTCGTCGCACAACTGAATCGAAGACGACCTCCCGCCAGCCACAGAGAGAGAGACATACAGAGAGAGCGCGCGATACATATACGTAACTAAGGAGCGAGCGAGTGGCGGGCGGCGGTGGCGTCGGCAGCAAACGAACGACGTCCCAACGCGCAGTGAGTGTCGACCAGCGCACGTCCTGTGCGGCGAATGGGCTCCCACAGCGCTGTAGAGGACGACGGGCACCCGGTGATGGACATGGAGACCGCTGCGGGTCGCCGGCTCTTGGGCGAGAACAAACGCGTGTGGCGCGACCGGTTGGCGTCCACGAGCTCGTCCGGCGGCTACTCGGACGCCGCCTCTGTGGACGACGCGAGTGGCACTGCGCTTGAGCTGCCGCCGCACCTCCGGGACCACTTGGTGAGTGTCGTGCACCGGACGCTGCCGCCAGTGACGTCGCTGGAAGGCGGGGAGCGGCTGCCGCCGATCGATTACTCGCGGCCGCCGCCCATGCGGATCCCACTGCTGCCCGAGAACATGAAACTAGAGCCGATCCCCGGCCTAAACCAGCGACGGCAGATGAAGCGCGTGATCGTGTGCGGCGCCGGTATTATCGGGCTCACGACCTGTTACTATCTGGCAAAACAGGGCCACGAGGTGCTGTGTGTCGAGAAGGAGCGGGGCGTGGGCACGCAAGTGAGTTTCTGCAACGGCGGGTTCCTCGACCCCGCGCTCTACGCCAGTCGCTCGGACATGACGAACCTCCGCAAAGGAAAGCAATTTCGCCACGCAAGTGCTACTGCGACCGCAGCAACAGCAGCTGCTGCAGTAGCAGATGGCAGCAGTGGCACGACGGACGATGAACGGCTTTCGGCAGCTGCCGCATCCAGTTCGTCGAGGGATATTACTGTCTCGGTGCGACCAGCGCGGGGATCGGTGGCCAAGTGGCCGTCGCGAGAAAAGCCCATGAAAATTGAAATGTCGGCTTTTCGAGACGCAAAGTTTTGGAAGTGGGGGCTCCAGTTTTGGCACAATTCGAAAAAAGGTCGGTCGAATGAACACTGCCGCACGATCCGCGAGTTGGGGTTCTACAGTATGCTGAAGCTGCGTGAGCTGCAGGCCAACACCAAGAAAGGAGAAGTGGTGATGGACCAAACCGCCCAAGGCACGATTGAGATTTTTCGAAATCACAGCGAGTTACAAGTGACGCTACAAAGCGATCGAAGCGCGCATTTATCGGAACTAGGCATGGACTTGCAACCACTTAATGCGACGCAGGCCCGTAATCTTGAACCCGCGCTGCGGTCAGAGGTTTATGCCCCAGGAGCTATCCTGTCAGCATTTGGAACAAGTGGCGACGTACATAAAATGTGTCAATCACTGTACCGCTTGTGTATGCGACAAGGGGTGATGTTCCGGTTCAATACTGAAGTGCAGCACATCTTGACGGACAAATCGTCAGTGATTGCATTACAGACACGGAGAGGGTCGCTCATTGAAGGAGATGAGTTTGTCCTGGCCCTTGGAAATTCGACGGCTCCTGTGGCAAAACGAGCAGGAGTGAAACTGGCACTGTATTCCGTGAAGGGATATGTGTTGTCCGTTCCCGTGGCTGCAGGCTTCCGTGCTCCTATCCACAATGTCTGTGCTGGTGGACATGCACTTGTTGCACCGCTGGGCAAGTCCTTGCTGCGAATATCGGGCGGTGTAGATTTCGTGAGTCAGAAAAAGACGGACGAAGATTCGCCGCGAAATCAAAAAAAGCGGTACGACTGGCTCTTGGCACAAGCCACGGTCATGTTTCCAGACGGTTATCTGGACGTGACCAAGATACAGACACACACTTGCTGGCGTCCGGTAACAGCGGACGACGTGCCCCTCGTCGGTCGTACGAAGATTCGGAATTTGCACGTTAATGCCGGTCACGGTTCAAAGGGATGGACACTTTCGTTCGGAGCAGGGGCGTTGATTGCTGATGAGATTAGTGGACGACGCCCACAACTGGACATGACGAAGTTTGCACCCGATCGCTTTGGCTTTTTCGGTTAAGTTAACTATTGCTCCACAGATTGCTTGGGGCTATTTGATTATTTGCCAAAACACATAGACATAACGTGTGTTGGGGTAGCGATGACAAAGGAGTGGAGTTTGGTTGCTGGTGGTATCGTTGTGGAGAGTCGGGTTGGCGGAGAATCGGCTTTTGTCGATTTCTTTGCATCCATCTGCTCGAGTCGTACACTGCGATACGTGCCGACATACGCTGCTCATACTGTCGTTGCTACTGCTTTTGCACGCGATATTAATTAATTTGAACTCATTACAAGTGTGTTGAACATGCGAATCGCATATCTGCCACAACGCGCATGTTACTTAACGTGCATCTCCGTGTTTGTGCTGCAGAAAAAATCAGCAAAGTCGAAGTGTTTCGTCTCTGATCGGCATATCGTGACTGGATTTAGCCGTCCAGAATGATGCATTGTGATAGAGCTCCACAGTGGTTTGAACACTCATTCAACGGCCAATTTGTATGTGATGGCAACTTTTATGTCACAGGCTCGTCAATCAAGCAGAAGATGACGCAATCAGCTTTGCAATACAGCGCCTTCATGATATCTGGAACGAATCTGCGACGTGATTTCGATTAGTGCGCCCGTTCACATAGGATTCATTTCGTGGTTAAGTTGACACAGATCTAATCATCTGCAAAGCACCTGCTGAAGCAAATATTATTTGTGGGGTGCTAAAAAGCAATGCAATCGTGAAGAGCACAAGCTTGCAAGAAGTCCCTCAGTGCGCGGCGCTGAACGGTATGATGACGAAATGCGGCCTAATGAAAGACGTTTTTTAGAACTATTTCGCACATTTTTGTATCTGGAAGCAATGCAATTTTAGCCTTTGCTTCGCTTTCGTCTTTCATCGACAACCTTAAAGCTTGTAGCGGGTTCTGGTTGCTCATTTTGCGACGAACCATGTCCGAAGATTGGGCCTAAAAGGCCGATTTTGACGTCAGGACTGATTGTAGGTAGAGCAAATACCTTTACAAGTTGAATCAATTCCCATACAAGGCTGTTGCTATCTCAGTGTCCGACTCATTCTCACCTGGAAACGACAGATAAACAGAAGTCTGTATCGTGAAAATGTGAAAATGCTTCATTCACGAATCCAAACAGTCTTCATAGGCATTTCACGATTTTGACGCGCCAACAAGTTCTATTACTCTATACGTTCGCAATGTCATTGATATCCTGGATCGGCAACACCAGTCAAAGGCGGCGCTCCCTCGCAATACACTAGTCGCTACCACAGTCGGCGCAATATAGTACAACATCTCGTGGCGGACCAAAACGCGCATTTTGAGCATACGAAGCTGAAATTTTAAAATGGTACCATGGATGACCTCGACTTCGTAGCATTGCCGATGCGTAGCCACCAACAAGCCGAGTAACTATAGCTTGACCGCTGTTCTGTGCAGTAACTTGGTCCGACTTCATTTCAGATGTTGTCACTTACTGCTATGAAGGGCAGACATTCAACACTTTTGTGTGAAAATGTCGTCGCAAACATAATCCATGATCGCCTCCTCTACAAATTCCCCTTATACATGACACAAGCCGTATCCGCTGTGCGTCATGGAAAGAGGACGACATTTTGTTTGCAGCCTTGGCGAAGTGATACATGTAAGTGCAGCACATGTAGTAGTGGGTCGATAACTTAAACGAAGAAGCGTGTACACAACGACCGGCTGTAGGTGTTTAGAAAGTCTGACGCATGCTTGCTGTACTCACATGTATATATCACTTGGCTCATTGTGTATAAGGATAATATCGAGAAGCATGTGGTCAACTACTAAAGTTCACGTACTCGACTCATGGCATCCTGCGGTATTCAGAGCACACATCTTTGTTTATAGCCATATGCATTGATACAGCGACAAGTGACGGTCATGTCCAATACTTGTCGTTGGTGGGGAGCCTTCGTTCCTGTGTACGTTGGCCCTCTTTATCCTACGCAGTATTGAGCGTACATGGCTGCAACTACTCGTTAGATCAATGTGAGCCCCTGAGTCTGCTCAAGCGGTCGAAGGCAGAGAAGAAGACGTTTTGTGACTGCTAGTTTCCCAGAAAAGGATATATAAAATGCACCAAATAATCGCGAGCTTAAATAGTGTACCACAAGACGAGAAAACTAAAAAGCACCAAATCATCAGAAAGTGGGTAGAACAAAATAACGCACTTGCTAGTCAAAGTATGCGGACTTGCTTTGCTCACCACCCATTGCGCGGTCTAGAATCGAGTGGGGGTTCAGTTGGTTGATATATTGGACTAAATTGGCCACTAAGTCGAGAGATGCTAATTATTCCCTTTGGAGGTAATACTCTCATCCTCATTTGCTTAGCAAGAAACATACTGGTGAATATTGTCAATTTCGATAACATTCTGATTGCCTCATCTTATGTCGAGGACACGTAACAGGCTCACCGCGTTACACATCATGCGCAGACTATGCATTGTGGCTGCTGCTCTCGGCGGCCTCCTCACGGAATCCTCCGCCGGGCCACTGGCCGACAACCACCAAACGAGTCCGACTGCTACTAAGCTACGTCAGCTGCGCCATGATGAGGCCAAGTCCGACCAGCGCAGACTTGTGCAGTCACATGGCTCAGTGGAGCACATGACAGCGTCCGATGCTCCGAGGCTTTCGACACCATACGAAACCGACCGCATGCTTCACAAGGGCGAGGATCGTGGCTATTTGTCGGATGTGATGGTAAAGGATATAATAGCGAAAGATACAGCCGCCAAACTCCACCCATGGAGAGTGTTTGGGAGGCTCAATCTCGACAAAGCTGACTTGGACCTTGACATCTTCAAAGTTTGGATGGAGTACATTCGTGTCCATCCTAAATCTGAGGAAATCAAAGAGGCGATGCAGTATCTCAAAATGAGCCATGGGAGCACGGACGTGGTGAAGATGCTGCTGCCGGACCATAAGGCCGTGAACTCCGTGGTTTACGAATCACTACAATCAGCAATCAGTGAAGTGTTGTTACACGAGCCGAGTCAATTGTACGGTCTGTTTTTGCAGAACGAAGTAAGCCCTGCTGATGCTTTCGGGCTCCTCGGTCTAGAAGCCGAAGACGCGCTTGCGAAGTCACCAGAAGCCGCAGTATTCTGGCTCAAGTTTGTTTTGGACGCGGAATGGACTACGTCTAAAGAACCACCCGTATGGAATCTTGCATTGAATCCAGACTTCTTATTCCCTCGTCAAGCGGTGGATCGTTTGGTCAAGGGCAAACGACAGGAGGATTTGGTCAAATTCGTCGAAATGGCTAAGAAACATAAGGACTTAAGAGAATCTTCCCTTTTCTTATGGCTAAATTTTCATAAGCCAGAAGTGCCGAAGGGGTTGCAACCTGCAAAACACGAGGACTAACCACTGAACAAAGCTAAGAAACGTGGGAAAAAGTGGTTGAGTCCGTTACCGTTGTCATCGTAACGGGCGAGGAAGCCGCATTGTTGCGCCGTCGCAGTTTGTACTGGGCTTAGAGTAGCTTGAGCATCATGCGAACTAAGGACCTTCAATACATCACTTTGCTTTTTGTCATCATCCTACCACTAGCGTCGACTAAACCGGTGATGACAAGTCCACGTTTCGATGATACGAGCTGCACTTGTAGTCGACTTTGAAGTAGAAACTGCTGTGCGCACACGGTCAGACATTGTTGAAAGCTCTTTGTGTAGATTGTACATATCATCCATCCGGACGACATATTGAGGCTGACGAAAATGAAGGCCGTGCAGGTCAAGTCGACCTATGAAAAGTTGTATGAAAGCTGCCCCAACATCTTCCGCCACATTAGCCAACATGTGTCAAGGCGTTGCTTTCGAGTACAATCAGTTGACGCACATGACAATTGTCCGTCCTACTGCACTTTGGTGGTAGGCGTTGAGCGATGCGCATAACCTTCCTTCTTTAGTCGATGAGATCTGGCATGACAATCGCACACGTTGCCAGTCCCAAGTTCCTTACAGTCAGCAGCTCCTACGCTCGAAGAACGAACAGCCGTCTCTCTCGATACCACCATGACGATACGTTCCACTCACACCACGCACAAAATGTGGACCAATGTTTCTTTCTCATCTGGATCCAATCCGGCGTTCGACCGCCTTGTTAGTACTTGGCACAGAAGCATTCATCCACTGCCAGTCAGCAACATACGACCCACTCAATTCTTTCCTCGTCGGATACCAACACGCCTTGCACTGCTACCACGTCACTGACTGCGGCTCCAGCGCCTTCTTCGCGAGATGATACATGCTTGGATCCGTGATTGCATGGCTTCGGAAAAGGCAGCCTGATACAATAAACTTTTTCGACTAGGCACCGTGCTTTCGGGCAGATATCTGAACTGCCGCGACATGTGCAACAACAAAGTAGCAGGAATCGGAGTACTCCATGATCCTGACAACAGCACACGTCGTTCCAGATGCAAAAAGCGTGAGTTCGCGCGTAAAGCTCTCGTTGCGTTCACGGATACGACAGGGAGTTTAACGAGGAGTATAGCTGGGAAGTCGACGTCGGCTGATGTCGTGTGTCCAACTACATCAATCTGCTTCGTTGTAAGCCGATAGGACAGACCCAACAAGTTGGTCGAACGAACTCTTGACACGTTTGCTACGTTTTTGAGCGACTGCCGCGTTCATAAATCCGGTTTGCCACAAACCCCTCATCGAATGTAGAAAACGCTCGAACGTCTGTGTTATCCCTAGTTTGACTCTACAACGTGAGAATGACTTCCATTCCATACACGCAAGCAAAACACTTTCCCCCTTCACATGTGCAAGGTCCAGCACCTCCAGACATGACAGTGACAAACCGCTGCTCGTCACATAGCCCGGACAGCATCCGAACTTCATTGTATCCTCGTCGCAGCTTCAGCGACTTCATCATGACAGTATCCAAGAATGTGAGCTCAAGCGTAAACTTATACCTTCGGTCCATCTTGCACAACCTCTCGGCAACGCCAGGTAGTACTTGATCGATTTGTTCTCTTGACCGCAGCAGAGAAGTACCGCACGGACATCCTCGTGTTCCTATTTCTCCATCAATTGCAGCTGCGTAAGCCACTTGTACGTATCACCACTCGCAAGTGTCAAAACAGTCTGTTTAACTTATGAAGCGCGATGCCATCTTTACTTTCGACATCCGTGTCCATGTGCCTACTCCTAGTCTGCTTCTCTCGAGTTCCAGAAGTCGGTCGTTCTCGCACGCAGTTTTCGCAGTTGCATGAGCGTTCGCCGCACCATCACTCGACTTCTGCTGGTAACGTACCCACGTACAGCCGACTATCCACCGATGCCTGTCATCGTCAGCATGAATGCGAAGCAAGTGCAGCAATACGCGCAGCGGGTTGTTAAGCGATCGCAGCAATACACGGAGAAGGTTGTTAACGTTTTCGCATCTCGTCTTTACGTGGCCGAGCCGCATATCGACTCATCCAGTGCATTTCCACTTAAGTTTTCAGAGTGCGGTTGTTACTGTGCTTGGATGCCTGTCAGAGGTCGTACATCAGTCAAGAATGAAGCGGACACGGTCATCGCGTTGTTTTCCGTCATTCGCTTGTGATGCCTCGCCAACTTCTTCACAGCGGCGACCGTCGGCGGCAAAACATCGGCATCATCCGCATCAAGCCGAGCGCTTCCAACAAGTAAAAGCGGTTGAATAGGCTCGGTGTCGACTGGCGATAAGCTGCTCATGAACGATCGACAGCGGTCATAACGAGAGAACAGTGTACAACTCCGAAGCTGTACAACAGCATCATATACAGCACCAAGTTCAGCAGTGCTTTCAGCGTCCTTCCGTCGTCATCCTCTTCATCGTCGGAGTGTGTAGATGTGGATCCGCTTCGCTATCATTTCTCCTCTTCCCGCCAAAACACCCACTAGTCTGCACACAGACGCTCCGGTTCGGGGCAAAGAAGCCTCCCACTTCGATGAAGACGCTTTGATACATAGCTGCCACTAAAGCACCACAATTTTGCAAATAGCGCAATCACATGCCGCGAGTGACACGTCGTCTCAATCAGCTTCTTCATCAAACTTTCGCTCACGAGTGATCGACAATTGGCGGATCTTCTCGATATCTGAGACGACAGGCCTGAACAATCGTAAGAGTGACGAGTGGTGACGACCAACGCATACGCCATGTAGTCACAAGCGACGAACTTCGTCTCGGAATCAACATATGGCTGAGCTGGTAGCTATTCAACGCCTCAGCTCACGCACAGCTTGCTCGTGCATCCACATGAGTGCGGCTTGTTCAGTCGCTGCTGCAGCGACAGCAACGTCAATGTCACCTCCTTGTCTTCTTCTCGATCTGCCACTCTCTAATCGTCGTCGCTAAATTTGGTACAACACTGGCATTATGCAGCAGAAGCTGTGAACTTCTGAATCTCTGCTTGATCATATTGATAGTGCAAATATGGACTGAAAAGCACTGGCGGATGTGCAGGAAGTAGGCGTGACGACGGCGGAAAGAAGCCGCAGCGCCAAACATAATTCAAGATACCCGAACGTGTCCGAGACATGGTGGACGTCCGCGTCATCCGAGTTGCTGCCTGAGTGGAAGTACTTCGATACCAAGACAGCCGCTAGCGTCGAACAGGTCATGGACTGACTGCGCGCAGCCCTCGAGAATATGCTGAGTAAACATCGAGCTTAGTGACGCTCGACCTTCAGGCAAAATGCAACCTAGAGAGCCAAGACATTCGAAGTTGTACAGTTTGCAAATTTGCCAATGTGCTCGATGATCCACACGTGTGCATGGTACCTCATCACTCTCTTCCACCCCTCTCTTTGCATACTTCTTCCCACCGCCTCTTCATCGTCCGCATCAAAATGCATCTTGGCCCTGCCTCACCTCCACCATCGTCTCCTTCCGCATCACTCACAATGTCTGCCTCATCGTCCTATCATTTCTCTCTTCATCAAGGTCAACAGTAGAACAATCGCCCTCTTCTTTTACCCTCTTCAAACCTTTGTCAGGTTTAGCTCCTCGTTGAGAAATGTGACATACCAGCGTCGGCATCAAAAGTCGAATGGCAAGGTCCAACGATACTTCCCACCGTACAGTCGCGCGGAGTACAGCAAACCTAAGCCTGAGGACACACAGCGGCAGTGTGTCGCGTCATGCGCCTACCTCGAACATATCTCCATTGGCGCCTCCGTCAATACCATACCCGAACCTTGGAAGTGCATCGAGTGTACGTGGTACATACAACACATCAAGCGGCATTGACTTGACTTCGCGGAAGCATCATCCAGACCACGAGACCATACTGCTAAGTTTCTGTGTCGTCGGCTAGAAGCTCTCATTCTTGCCGACAAGCGTACAGCGATTGGCATACGCCAGATTGTCGTAGTTGACGCCGGACGTCGTCATTCGTTTCTTCATCCACATCGAAATCTCAACATCAAGGTTGCTGTTTCCACGATAGCTGACGCGTGCTTCGCTTCCTATCGTATATTCCACTTGCGAGTGTTGTTTTGGCAGCAGTATCGCAACTCTAGCAGCTACGTAGCATTCCAGCGTTCGCCAGCTTCAGACTCTTTGCCTTCTTTACTCGCATTGGTCGTCATGATACGCAGAGGAAGTACTCGATGCTAATTCTACAACTAACCATTGTTGCGCGAGCTCGCGTAACACTTTGTATAGGTTTGTCAACGTATACAAAGTGTATGCAATCCATTGCCAAGACACAAAGTGTGCAGCTGCTGTCGCCAATTGTCACGCACTCGGCTGTGTACATTGCAACAGCGTATGCCAAACGAAGGCGCTCGGCTGTGTACATTGAAACAGCGTATGCCAAACGCAGACGCTCGTGCTCGCCAGCCATAAGACTCCGTGTTGACAAGTATGGTCCATTCACGGATGCACGTTGCAGGTAGCGACGCACCGCATTGCAATGCGACTGCGCAAGAGCAGACAGTACCCCCGTATTGACCACCCCATAAGCTGCATCCACTCCCATCCTATTCACGTGCCAGTGACCAGCCAACTCTTCGTACATAGAACGTCTGTGAGCAGTTTTCGGTTCGCAAAGCCATCTGAACTGCCACACAGCGACAAAAAGACACACATAGTCAACAGTTAACATCGGCGACAACGCTGCGGCGCTACTCTTTGCTGCCTCAACGCCCTTCGCTTCATCGCGAGCGCAACTATCACGTCGCAGCATTGACGCGCAGTTTGAGTAATGTTACGTACACGACACAAATTTCGGCATTGTCAACGCGCAGTTCGAGTGATGTAACGTACATGACACAAAGTTCGGCAGCGTTAACGCGCAGTTCGAGTGATGTAACGTACACGACACAACTTTCGGCAGCGTTGCCAGCCACGACGCGGGCGCTGATTACGTCGGGTCGAAAGTTGCACCGGATCGTTCGATGGGCAACTTGTTTATGCACCCAACCCACAGCGTCTGTTTACCGCATACAAATCCCACGTCGCCGCTATCGCCACTCGCGTTCTCATTGGCTGCTGCGGCTGCCTCCCACCGCCGTCCTTTCTGACTCGTCCACTCGCGCTACAGTCAGTTTAGCAAATGCAGCGCAGCGCACAGTCGTCGGCCGCGTGCGTTGGCCGCCAGTGCCTCTCGTCGCGTACCCCCACCCCCACCGACGACGACGAGTGGCGACACCGACTCACTGGACGGCCAGCGCTCGTACTGCGGCGCTGACAAAGAGACGCGCGTGCAGCCGCTCGTGCAGCTGCGGAAAGACGGCAGTGTCCGTGTGGCCGTGCGGGTTCGCCCGGCGCTGCCCTGGGAACTCGCGCGCAACGCGGTGACGTGCGTCCAGACGCTGCGCGGCGGCGACCACTCGGCGGTCCACGTGACGGCCGGGCCGCAGGCTGCAAAGAAATTCACGTGGGTCTATTTGTAGCCCAAGACTGTGCTTGGGACCCCCGAGTTGGGCGGCTTTCGGCTGCAATGCGGTGTGCAGTGGAGAGGTTTTGAACGTGTTGCTGCTGTTGTGTGTGGCAGGTTTGATCATGTCTTTCCGCAGACCACGACGCAGACGGAAGTGTACGATGAAGCACTGCATCCTTTGCTGGCCTCGTTTCTACAGGGGTTCAACGTGACAGTGATTGCGTACGGACAGACGGGGTCGGGCAAGACGTACACGATGGGAAATAACATGCCATCCGCGTGCAGGATGGCCAACAACGTGTTTGCCAGTCCTCCTACTTGTGACGACGGCAGGAACGAGGCGGCTGGAGATACGCTAGAGAGCAGCGAAGGCCTGATCCCTCGATTTCTGTATCATTTGTTTGCAAAGCTGAACGAGAACAGGCGAAACGTGGAGCTGTCAGTGTCGTTTCTGGAAATATATGGACAGGATATCTACGATTTACTGGACAGCACAGGGACGCAGAGATTGGGTCGACGGTCGGCGTCGCTGCAACTGCGAGAGGACACGAAGAATGGCGTGTGGGTCCAGGGACTGAAGGAAGTGCGCGTGTCGAGTCGACAGGAAGCCATGGATCAGATGCGACGAGGTGCGTTGCAACGGATTACCGCTAGCACACAGATGAATGAGCATTCGAGTCGGTCGCACGCTGTTTATACGGTTAAGATTGTCCAGCGCGTGTCGGAAGAGGGGTACAAGAAAGTTGCACCGCTGGACAAAAACATTGCAGCGTCTAGTTCGAAGAGAATGAACAAGCTTGCAGTTGAGTCAAGCAACAACAACGATGTGGCAGCAAACGTGATCGACTCAGATGCGGTGATCGTGTCCAAGCTTACATTTGTGGACTTGGCGGGAAGTGAACGTCTGAAGAAGACGCTTGCGGAGGGCGACCGCATGAAAGAAGGCATTCAAATCAATACCGGATTATTTGCTCTCGGTAACGTCATCAACGCGCTTGGAGACGACAGACGCCAGGGATCATTCGCCTTTCACGTTCCGTACAGGTCTTCAAAGCTCACGAGGTTACTTCAGGACGCACTTGGTGGAAACAGTCGAACTCTGTTTATGTAAGTACCGTGTTTGTCATTGCGGGGTGTGCGAGACGATGTTTTGACATCTGTTATTATCCGTTTTCTCGTACCTTTGCAGTGCATGCGTGTCTTCCGCAGACTTGAATGCAGACGAGACGTTGAACACGCTCGTGTACGCCAATCGCGCTAAGAATATCCAAAACAAGGCTGTGAAGAATATCGATAGCCGCTCCGCGAAGCTGGCAAACCTAAAGGCGTATAATCAGCTCTTATGCCGCGAGCTCGTTAAGGCTGTACTTGCAGGATTGAAAGGAGAAGCTCACGATGACATGGACAGTTTAGTGGATATCTGCATGACGAGCCCGAAAGTTGTAGCACACTTTGGCAGTATCGAACAGCTATTGGCATCGGCAGAATTGATGATGGCAGGTGATAAGCGCACAATTGAAGCACGGCATCTACTGAGTAGCCTTACGTCTCACCTGTGCGAGTTAGCGTCCAAAAATAAATGCCAGCGGGCTATTTCTGTGACGAGCGCAAGTGAAAGCAGACCCAACAGAGTCGAGCGTCGAGATGAACTGCTGGGCTTTGCCAGAGTCAGCAGCTCTGCTGTGGTAAAAACAAGAGCACGGGAGCTCGACACAGACGAAGCTTGTGTGACTACTTGTACACTGCAGAAGTTTTGCCGCACATTGGAAATCGTGAACTTCGCGTTTGAGATGCTAGAGGTTCAACGAGAAGGAAAGCGCCTGCGTCAATCGCTAAATGTCAAACGCATGAACTCGGAGATGCGGTATCGTCGCCAAGTGTTGTTGCGAGACGGATTATCAGGTATGATCGACAGGATGCAAACACGGCTATCTTCGGCTACGTTGACCGAAGATGCGAGACGGGGCATCGGATGCAGTATAGACGTCGCGAAGGGAAAACTGGACTCGATGACAGCAGAAATGGAGGACCTAAAATGCCAAATAGCTACGCTGAGTCGTGAGCAAAAGCTGGAGTTGCAGCGCTGCCAAAACGAGTGGAAGGAAAAACAGGACCAAATCAGTGAAATGAGAGAGGCCGACAACAAAACAGCAACCAATACGCTGGATGTGTTGATCCGGAAGGCCGAAATTGAGGTAGTATGTCAACAATCGTCATGATGTCAATGTACTGTAGCTGACGGGTTCGCGTAATGTACAGGTTCGCTTCGACAGGTACGACCTAGACATTATTGCGGATCTTCTCAAGAACGAAGAAAAGGAGGTGGCAGCTTATCTTGATGAAGGCAACGATGCCATTGCGTTCATGTCGCCTCTGTTTACAAAGCAAGAACTGGCTTTGTCGCAGCACCGTGATATTGTTTTGATGATTGAAAATGAACTCCAGGTACGTTCCTAGCTGCTTTGCGCTCTTGTTGTTTGTCTGCATTGCCTAACAGTTCGTTGGTGGCGATATTGCAACTTACAAACTCGTAGAATGCGTTAGATAACGAAGCCCTCGAAGCCTTCCTGCACAAAGAGCTTCGTAGGCGAACGCAGTTGATCCATGAAATCGCTCAAGGGCCAACAGCTTGCCATCGTGACGAGATGACTGAGCGCATGTTTATGGAGAAAAACGAGCGAGCTTTGAAAGATTGCGAGAACAGCATTTCTCAAATTCGCGAAGCCATGCAAGCGAAGCAGTGCCAGCGAGCATCGATGGGTGATATAATTGATTCCATCGAGTCTCTCGACGCGGCAAAGGTTGTGATTCGAAGACTCATCATTCAAATATATGCTCAACGGCGAAACGGCATGGTGTTGGACGAAAAGGAGGAGTTTAAACGGCAGAAAGAGATCGAGAAGAGTGTACAGCAAAGTCTGGCTGCGGTGAAGACTGACATGGACGCAAAGCTGGAAGCTATCGAAGCAAGATATGAGAAGGACTTACAAAGTACTTTCCAGATGGTGACGAGTTTTGACGACGTAATTAGATTGGATGGTCAATCGCTGATGCATGATCCGTCGGGGCAAGCTAAAGCAGCAGTCGAGATTTCTTTGTTGAAGGAGCGCGACAAGATGCTGGTTGCTGAGTTGGCGGAAAACAACGACGAAATGGTGGCAATGCGTGCAGAATTGGACCGGCTCCGAGCTTCAGCAAAGAGTGCGGAAAAGAAGGAGGAGGCACTTCGTGTGATGGATGTAAGCATTGTTGTGTTCTGTTTGCCGAGCATGATACTGACACATATGTGTTGTGTTATAGAGATGCCAGGAGATTTGGCAAGAACTGGGTGTTAATGAGGAAGATCAAGCAAGCAAGTTCCAAGACATTAGCGAACTGCTGCTGAAAAAGTGCTCTGAAGAGCTAGAAAGTCTCGAGGCTGCTAGGAGAAAAATCCAAGCTCGGATTGATGACGCCTGTCGTACTGTAGGTCGATTGGAGTCGATCTTGCGCGTGGATGCTCCGCTTCATGCCCAGTCCCTTCCTGAGATGGCTGGGGAGACGCTTCTTGAGCAAGAGACGTACATTTTATCGCTGCAGAGGCGTCTTTCGAATGAGCTGTGGCACAACTTGAATGCGCGTATCCGACTATCTGATGATATCCGGGAACTATCAGACGCCCTACAGATCAAATCGTGTGAAGATTTTTGCCATGTTGCTCACGATGCACTCCGTTGTTTCGACACCAACTTTTCGGCGTCACAATCCGTAGAGTTAGATGTGTGGAAAGCAGTTGCACGGAATGCGGGCGAGGCTGCTGAGGAACGCGACCCGTTTTTGGAACGTTTAGACGAAGGGACAGATATCTCGCGGATGTCTGTACAGCGGGATCAGAATGTATTTAACACGTTGCTGATCGAAAAGACAAAGCGGATTGCGGAGGTGGAAGAGTCTTTGGCGGCTATCAGGACGATGGCGCGTAAGTCTCAACTGTCTCGAGATGACATCGGGTCAGTGATTCGCTTATTACTTGATGGAGAAGATGGCGGGATTGATGCCAAGGCAAAGACTTTGGAGGCCATTTGTGCTCATCTGTTTCAGACGGGCGGCCAACTCGACTTTAGCAAGCGAATACTTGAAGTGCTTGCAAAGGTGCTTGGGAGCCTCGAGGAGGTTCAAGCAGGGCGATCGGACGCGTTGACTTTCCTTCGCCGGACCGTAGAAGAAGCTGCCATGGTGACTCACGACGTTGCTCTAGGTGGTTTCATGGACGATGGCAACTTCCGCCACTTCACGTGTCCATTGCCCCAAACTCCTCACGGCGACCAGAGCTTAATGGACACGCTGGCTGCTGGCAAAGAGATACTGTGCTGTCTGAGCGAGCCCGTAGAGAACGCGTTACGCAGTCTCTTGTACTCAATGGACGACGACTTCGCGGCTTTTGGCATCGACACGAATGAGCAGCGAATGAGCTTTTTTATGGGGTGCGAGGTAGAAAGAAAGATGTCTCGACTTGCCATTCTGGACAAGTACGTTGTCCGCTCGTGCTGTGCACTGAATGCGTCCGGCGATGAGGATAATCTGAATATCGGAGTTCCGGAAAGAGCGCTAGAATGCAACGATTCTTTCCTGTCTAGACTTGATCCTGCATTTGAGAAGTTCCATCGGACGTACTCGGTATCGTTCGGGGATTCGCAGCTGCAGGGACTTCGCGCCTCGATTGCAGACACACAGGAAGTAAAAAGCGCGGTGAATAGCGCACAAACCCGACTGCAGTCATTGCGGAAGATCATGGCCATCTACAACAAAATCAACGAGTTCAAGGGCAGAATCGCTGAATTCGAAGCCAATGCCACTCAAAAGGACCGCTTGTTTGGAAACTCGCACGTCTTACTAGAAGAAGAACGGTTTCGCAAGATGGCAGCCAAACACTACCCGAACTTGCTCGCAGCCCTTCGGAAAGAAGTATCGCGCTGGCTGGAAAACGAAGGCGGCGAGTATGACCTCAGCGTTCTCGGTGAGAACCTCAAGAACCTCTTGCTGGACATGATGAATACAAACACTGACCTCATGCATCTCGACTTGGGTGTTGTCGGTCGCGCGTCGAAGCAATTGCTGACTCCGAATTCAAGCAGCTTCAACCTATAAGCGACGGCCGCTGTCCGTGGCCAGCGAGCTACTCCGCGGAGTAGCTACACCAAGTCACTGAGTGTGTATGTGTGTGTGTGTGTTTGTGTGTGTGTGACTATAGGATCAACTCAACGCAATACGTAGACATCGGAGCACACAACAAGCCATTGAGGCGTAGCAAAATGCAATGCACGAGTTTTCATGAACAAGACATACCGTCGTCTAACACGTTGCTGTCCGATGCTTCAAGTCAGCTTGGCGCCCTGTGTTTGGTACTTCTGATACTTGCTAGAGAGCTCCCACCCCAGGCCGAGGAACACGATGGCCACACCGAGCCACGACATTGGACTGAGTTCGTGGCCGTACCAGACCACAGAGAAGAGGATCGTAAAGAACTTGCGCGTGGTGGTGATTGTCGTACACGTCAGCGCCGAGAACTGCTGGATGGTGAAATAAATGAAGTTCTGTCCCAGCGCGCTGCACACGGAGAAGTAAAAGACCGAGTTGAGGATGGCCGGATTCTCAATGCAGAAAAAGAAGCCCTCGAGCGCCTGGCCCGTGGCCAGCGCCCCGATGCCCGTGTAAACGACGGCCCACAAGTTGGTATTGAGCATCTGCTGGTGCACCGATGGACGCAGTTGATGCGCAATCTCCTCTTGCTTGGGCCCTGAGATGCCATCGAGCGTGAGGGAGACAAAGAGCAGCAGCAAGCCGTACGAGCTATTTTCCCGCTCGGCATGTTTCGCAGAGCCTTTTCCGAGCTGGAAAATCGCAATGCCCGCCGTGATTGCTACGACACAAACGTAGTCCCGCAGAGTGTACTTCTTGCGTCGAATGAGCACGCCCATGAGCATGACGGGGATCATCTTGCACGATTTGCCCAGCGCTTGTGTTGGAAAGCTCACGTGCTTGAGCGCCTCGTTGCTGCACAGCATTGCGCCCAGATAGGCCGCAGCAGTGAAGGCAAAGGGACCGAGCGGCATCCGCGCGCGCTCGGGCTTCCACACGAACGTGGCAGCATAAGCCACGAGCGAGTTCGTGACACATTGCACGAACAGCATAAAGAGCGTCGCAGTGAACTTGTCGCCACTTGGGGATCGGTACGTGAAACTAACAACAGCCAAGCGACATGTACCATAACAAAAGAAAAGGTGAGCATGTGCTATACGTATAGTGAGCGTTTTGATCAAAGTGCTCCGTAGTGTAATAGTGACAAATACGCTGACAACCACAGCGGTCCGAGATACTTCACATTGTACTACTACTAACAAGAGAGAGAGAGAGAGAGAGCAGTTTACGTACATGTTTTCCTGGAATATGCCATAGCTCAGGTAGCAGACGTAGATACCGCCGATGCAGACGAAGAGGTTCAGGATACTCGAGTCCTGCGGACTCGGCGCGTGCAAAACCGTCCGACCCATTCGAGCTGTCAAATTAGATATGATCGACTGACGCCAGTCGCCACGTGGACGCGGGGGCAGCGGATGTTGCAGGAAGGTGCATGTGGCTGGAGTAGCGTGGACCACCTGAGATTCGATCATGACGCTGAGAGATCGAGTGCCTTCGACTTTGGACCACTCAGTCCGTCGCAACTGTTTTTGACACACGTGTGTCGGAAGTGCGTACTTATGCGGTGGGTCGATCCTTCTGGACATTGAGAAGGCGACTGTTGAGCGGACACCGTATAGTTGAATGATAAAAAATGCGTGAGAAGTATGATGTCGTTACGTGAACGACGGGACAGTGGGCTGAGTGTGTTTCCTTTTCAAGGATTTCTTGTCTGTGCAGGCGATGAGATGTTGAGAATTCTAATGAATTGACATTGCATCTCGTACCATCGACACGCCACGACAGACCACCAACATACAGACTGAATTGACCCAGACCTCACTTTGACACGTCGCAGACGCGAAGCGAGGAGCTCGGTTGACTCGCATTGACCTGTCGTCTCGCCTAGGTTATTAGCTGTTGGGTGCTGACCGGCGTGTTACTTGCGTTTGAGCGAGATATCCGCCATGCCGAGACACTTTTTCGATCGAAAGTGTATAACTACTTGCGGACGATAACTAGCGCCATGCACCCGGATTTTACTCGAGCTGGATAGTCTTGATGGCGGCTGTTTGCCGCGCTTGTTGTGTATCATGCGTAGAACAGAGACCTCCATTGAGTCGCGACTTCCACGGACTGCGCGTCGAAACTCTAGTCTATGTACGTGCCGATGTCACCCCGCGTCGGAAACTGTTGTTCAGCACGCAAATTCAAGATGCGAGCGTGGACTTGGTTCCGTCTCAAGATGTCTCGCTCTCGTACAAATCAATGACTAGTGTGCGTTTCCCACCAGCATCTGCATCAGACTCTTGGTCGTACTGACAATGATTGAGTTGATTGTAAACACGTCCACTATCTCGTCGCCCTGGTACGAATGGCAACCGGCATGCGGTCACCTTTGACACGATGGCCATCGTGCATCTTGGCCGTATACTCGTCTCTTTGTTCATTAGTCGCGCTTATCGAGGATTGTGTGCAGCGGACTGGCTAGCAACTTGCACGTTCTCAGAACTCCCCCTTGGCTCGTACACACCCGACAATAATGTTCCTATCTGCCGATAGGTATTCTGTGATGCTTTAGCGGGTTCCCACTTTACGGTAAGGTCATGCTCGAGAAAACACACTTCTGTCGTATTTCGTATGAACCTGCTGGACGCTAATCTCGAATTTACAAGAGCTTACTTCGGGCTGACCTTCTCGCCAGAAATTTCGCCTGCCTGTTTCGTGCACGACCCGCTGCGTGTTCAGAAACTCTAGGAAAGGCTGAATGGATTAGTGTAAGGGAATCAATCGTGGTGCCGTCGACGACGATGTAAAAGACGTCCTCGAATTAGCTAAAAAACAATCAAAATGACGTTGCCTCGTCTAGATGTGTTGACACTTGTCATGTTTGGACGCTTCGTCATCAGCACGCGATCGCTGCATCGACGCATTCCACTCATCGCCTTCTACTGGCAGATACCCGCTGTTGCTGAACCGTCATCTTCGTGCCCTGAGGTCGTACGCTGACCATCTTACGGCGTGCTGGATCAAGTTTGCTCGCGCGATACTGTATCTAGTTGTGTCAGTTGCATTGGACTTCAGCACAACTGCTTTGTTTGTGCTACAACCATGCTAGGAATGCTTGTGCGTGATGAAAACCACGCAGCTGGGGATTGATCTATGGTCCAACAAGTCCGACTGCGTCTGCCTTTGTTGTACGGTAGTTATAGATTCGACGAGTGTAGCCGGTTCCTCACACAGCTGAGAGTTCCAACTGATGGGCGACGTCTCGACAATCCTCTTACGACAGTTCGACTTTACGTCAAGCGTCGCTATGCACACTTCTCACAGGCCCTGTCTCGTCTGTGCGGTAAGAGGAGGAGGCTGCTCGATATTGGCCCGTTGGTATGAGCACACTTTGTTTGTAACTCCTTGACAGCTTTTACTCAGCAATTGTTTCGGGCACATTGATCTTCATTGCGCTTAATCGGTAGGAAGAAATCGACAAGCCGTCGTTTTTCAATCGTCGCGTGGATGGCAGCGCAAAGGCAGCAAAGGAAGAAGTGTTCATACAATGCAGCAGCACACAACCGAAGATTCACAAGCACCGTGAAAAGTCTCGACTGGTCGGATCCACCGCAGCAACTCGCATCGCCCTAAACGTTACTTCACCATTGCGTCCCATTGTCACTTTCCGACTCCAACCCGTTAACGCAATTTTTCCTCGCGCACCATCGGGCCCGTCGATCAATGTCCAACGAGCAGTTGCTGCTCAGCAACATAACGAGCTTTCGGCACCATAACGCGCCGCTCACGCCGCCAGCCATTCCCAGCGCATCAGTTGACAACTCGCAGCGTATCACACACACACACTCAGCCAAAAGTGACATGCGGCCGAACAACGACAGTCAGAAGCTCATTGTCGCGGGCCTTCCCAAGTCGCTGGACAAGACGCAACTGGCTGAGCTCTTCAGTGCCTTCGGGACGGTCCTCGACGCGTCCGTCGTGCTCGACGCCGCCACGAACGCGTCGCGGGGCTTTGGCTTTGTCACGTTCAGTGGGGCATCGGCTCTCCGCGCAGCCATTAAAGGAATGCACCGGAAGGTGCTCGAAGGCCGTACGCTGAACGTGCGGCAGCTCGTGCCCAAGGACGAGTTCCAGTCTGTAACCCCTGAGGTCGGCCAGCGGCCGTGCTGGTTGCTGCGCAAAGGCAGGTGCAAAATGGGCGCCAACTGCCTCTTTTCGCACGACGTGCAGGACGGAGACTGCGGCAGCTGCTTTGAGTTTGTGCAGACGGGCGCGTGCAGACGCGGAGACAAGTGCAAGTTCGCGCACGTAGAGGCCGTCGCGAAGGACGGACTGGAGGTACAGAAGGACAGCGCGGGCCCGACGACGCGCGTGTGCTACAGCTTCCAGAACGGACGCTGCCATCGCGGCAAAAAGTGTCTCTATGTACATGAGAAGCTCGAGAAGGAGGACGTGACGAGGGCTGTTGCAACAACGGCAAAGACGGTCGAGGAGACGAACCGAAGACGACAGAAGAGTGACAGTGTCCTGGACGGGTTAGCGGGGAAGAAGGCGACGATCCAGCAGCAACAGGACGTGACCTGCACACCACTAGCGGAGAAGAATGTTGATGCGACGAGAGCAACTGCCGAAAAGGAGGCGCCGATTGTGTCAGGCCCAGCAGTGCACGGCAACAAGTTTAGGCAGTTGCAGAAAGCGAACGCACGGACCCAGCAGCAAGAGCGGGTGAAGAAAGCTGCGAGGCCAAAGGTCTTTGAGTGGAAGGCAAAGGTGACGAGGGCTAGGACAGAACCCGACGGTGAGGCGGAACAGGACCGCGGCCTGCACGTCATGGCACCGGAGCGACCGGTGAAAAAAGTAAAGCGGGAAAAGATTGACATGGGCGCTGCGTTTGATGGCGTGTCGGACGACGAGAACGATCGCAGCAGGAAGACGAACGTGGACAAGCAAACGCTGCGCGCGAACCGCGACAAATTGACGCAGGAGCGGCGTCTGAAGCGGAGCGCGAAGAAGAATGCGCTGTCCAAGTTGCAGACCGAAGGCGAAGTCGTGCTGAGTGTTTGATCAGTGCAGCTACGGTGCGTTTCGCTGCTTGGGGTCCTGAGCAACTCGGTCGCGGCAGAAGAGAATGACTGAGCTGCAGGTTATCGTAGCGACACGACGTAGCAACTGCTGCTGCTATCGCTGGTGACCAACGAATCTCTCTCTCTATTGGCAGTGGGTGTCACAATCGTCATGTACCCATCAGAGCTGTGTAGCCGTCGAGAAGTGGACAGCAACACGTAAAACATAAGCGGTCGAGTGCACCAGTGCACATCCGAATGTGTTTGCCAATCCGCTCACGTGCCCATTAGTCTTTGCGAATCTCATCGACGCAAGACCCTCAAGTCACATGCACTGTCGCGCATCGATCGTCTCTGAATAGTCACTTTGTTGGTCCTACGAGCACCAATTGAGGTCAGCTTGGCGTCAGACCTGTTGCGTGTGTAGTATGTCCAGTACAAATCTGCTGCGCACCTTATGCTGAGCGCCCTCAGTAGCACTTTTATCTCCTCTTGCAATCGCACGAGACGGTCCGTAAAGGCGTAAACTTTGGAAAACTTTGGCTCTTGCCCGCTTCGACGCTGTATGGCGGTGACCAACACACTCTGCCGTCGTGAGCTCAGTGACCGCTATCGGATCGCCTTCTCGAATACTCAGACCAGCGGTTGGCATTGACAAAACCCCTTACGACGCACCGCATTCGTCAACGTCTCATTCACCTTAACGGCCTATCGGTTTAAGCCCACTCGATCACGTACGTAGGCCAATGTCTGCGTCTTGGATCGATTCCGAGTCGCCAACGGCACTTGGAGTCTGCACGCTAACGCATGAGGTCGAGGCAGACAGGTGGGCAACAACTTCAACAAGACACGAGCGGTCGCCCAACGTGCCTTTGTCGGCCTGCGAAAGTTATAGAGGCAACGACAGCGACGTCTCATCGTTGAGTGCGTTCACGTGTGCACGCCTGTGCATGTACAGGCCACGCCCGTGCAACGGATCGACCTCTCTCTTCTACTACCGATGACGCAGTTGCACGGGGTATCGCAACGACAAAGTGACTCGACGTTGCGCTGTCGTCGATCTCTTCGCTCGCGCGTAAAGGCGATCGAGACAGAGCGTGCTGGTGATCAGACGGTAAGCCCTATCACTACTACAACAACAACTACAACTACTGCAAATGAGACGACGGGGTGTCGGTCAGCACACGTTCCTTCCGATCGTTGTCGCTCCGAAGACGTTCCGCTGGAATTGGTATCATCAGCGACTGACCCGACCGGTCGTTTCACAGGTTCGACGAGTCCTTTAGTTGACACGTCGCCATGTAACACCTCTCGATGCAACAACACGTGACTTGCGTGACCACTTTCGCTTCCGTTACCCATCGCACGTGTCCGTTCGTTCGGTCGTCCACAGGCTGTCGTCGTCGTGCGACTTCTTCTCACTTCAACGTATGTGTTCAGACGGCAGGTGCACTCGCTCTTGTCGTGCCCTTGTAGCAGATGGGATCGCGAGAACACGATACGCCCCACCAAAGATGCAGCAGAGCACGACTGGAGGTAGAGAGGATCGACCAGACGTATGCGTCTGCAGGTCAATTGCATACTCTTCGTCGTCTTCGTCTCCGTAGCACTTTGAGCTCATTTCCCATTTTCCCGCACGCAACCGACAGACCGACATATCGACATACCAGCGCTCTCGAATGCACCTTTCCAACGTCCTCGCTCTCCATGCAGTCGTGTTCGGCGCTGTCTCGAACGCAGCCGTGACTTCGGACCCGGCGACTGCTGTCTACTCGCTGTCTGCTTTCGCGATTGGCGACTGGGGCACAACTGTCACACCGCAGTCGTGCTGCGTGCGGTCCGCCTCGTTCAACAACTACGACGTCCATGCCCAGGACGTGGTCGCGAGCTTGATGAACACCGAGGCCGGGCAAACTGCTGTCAAGCCGCAGGCCATCATGGGCCATGGCGACAACTTCTACTGGACTGGAATCAACAGTCGCGAAGCACGCGACTCGCGGTTTACCACGACGTTCGAAGACAAGTACGACGGCGCGAACCTCAAGTCGATTCCGTTCGTGAACGTACTGGGCAACCACGACTTTGGCGGCGCTAGCTACATCTGCAGCAGTGGGGACAACCCGGCCAAGTGCGAAAGCACCGAGGCATTGATCCAGGGCCTCGAGAATAAGTTCAGGTGGCAATCCGAGTACGTGAGCCCGAACGACAACCGCTGGATCCTGAAAGACCATTTCTACGTCCATCGGATCGCGAACCCGGCAACGGGTGTCAGCATCGACATCTTTAACGTCGACACGAACGACGCGGACGTGCACGGGGCCATGCAAGTTTGCTGTCAATGCTACGGGTACTCGAACGGAAACGGCGCCGTGTGTCGGTCCGTAGGTCGGGGACATCAGTACTGTGCTGGTGGGAACACGGGTATGTTTGACACGTGTATGGCTAAGCTCTCCGAGTGGGGCGCCAACTCGCGCGCTCAGATCGCTGGACTGGTCAAGCAGTCCACCGCAACGTGGAAGATCGTCAACGCCCACCACAGTCCGTATAACCACTACGGTCCGGCCGGCATGAACAAGTGGTTCGACGTCTTGCGAAACTCGGGTGCCCGCGTCTGGTTCAATGGCCACACTCACGCAGCCAAACAGGACTTTTCCGTGCCTTTGGGCATTCACTTTTTCGAGAATGGCGCAGGAGGTGGGATCCAGAAAGAGTCTGCCAGCGGCATCCCTGATTATGCTGCTAGCTACATCAAGAACGAGTGGGTGTACTCGGGCGACGAGTATGGCTTCATGTCCGTGCAGGCTTCGAAGGAGTGGCTCAAGGTGCAGTACCACACGGCAGACCAGTCGTGGTCGTTTGGCAACAACTTCGAGAGCACGAAGATTGGCGGCGTCGTCGCCAAGCACTGCTGGTACATTCCTGCGGATGGCACCGAGGGCAGACGATGCTAGTCGGTCTTCCACCCACTGAGGGGCAAATCGAGGCATAGATGGACTTCTTCGATAGGGGTTGTCGTCAAGCACTTGTAGTTAGTGCGTCGACGGATCGTCGCAAGCGCTTTGCAAATGTCTGGTAGACAAACAGCGTTTCTACGTTGGGATCTGGATCGCAATAAGCGGCAACGGCGACGACGTTCGCCACGACGCGCAGCTGTCCCGATGCCGTACACATTGAGAAATGTCTGACCGTAAGTGTGAGGTCAATGCAAAGCATGTGTGCTTTTGGATCAGTGTTGCCACGCTCTTTGCATGCAAAGATACTTCAGTCCGAGCTGCTCGTATCGGAGCACGGTGTGATGATGGCCAGCTATTGTAAGAAGATGCTGGTTTGACGCTTTCGTCAAGACTGACTTGAGCTTCACAATGCTCTGTAGCTTACAGTTTTTTCGGGCAACAGGACAGGCAGGAGATCTCACAGTTTTACTCGAGCACATGGCATCTTCTCCCAAAGTTGAGCCATATTTGAATCCAGATAGTGAAGGAAAGAAGCTCTGTCGCTTATCATCATGCGCACGGTGTCGTATAACTGTAGTTCACTCACGTCCTACCAACCAGTAAGCGTCCTCTGATGGTAACTGAGCACCCGTTTGCCAGAATGAGGCAGCTTTACCACGTGTCCATCTTGGCATGGAACAATGTGTTGCTACCAGACTTAGCACAGGTAGTTTGTCGTTGTCGGTGCATGTGGATACCCAAACCTTGTGCTGCGACGATGCGTGTGTACCATCCTAGTGCTAGGATGACCTGTTGCACCTTGCGTCTTTCTGCTAGCACTAGTACTGCTCTTCTACCATTCGACCAGCTCGGGCAAGGGGAATCGCAGCTCATCTTCGCCTTACACGTGATTTGGACGCTCTACCCGCGTCGAAGTAAGCCACAGGTGTGATTGAGTGCACGGTATGGCTGAAACAAAATCGGAACAGTGCGTCGCATCATGTGATAACGTTCCATCACTAGCCATGCACATTGACATAGGACCAGAATCGCACACTGACATCCACGAATGGCTTTCTCGAGGAACGCATCCACTCACTGAGCATGCAGAAAGACATAGGCGACAAAGCAGTGGTCTGTTCTAGCCCCTGTTGTTCGACCTACGCAATGCTTTGTAGCTGGTCCACGACGAGAGCGGCCAGTACTCGAGGCTTACTGTATCGCCACGTCCGTGTGGATTCAACTGAATATTCTTCCGGTTCCACTTGATACAGAGCCCTCGGCGTATTTGGCTGTAGGCAGCACGAGCTTGCGACTGTCTATCCAGTTCGACGACTGCTTAGTCAGTGACAGACAGCTTACTTTCCTTCATACAACGGAGAGCGAGACACTTGCGACCTCTTGTTCGTTCGCCGCGACGACCAGACTGTCGTGTGCAATACATACCCAGTCAGCTTCCTTGGTACGTAGTCGCGATACGGTGTCTATGACATTGCTGGGCTCACTGTGTCAGAGCTGTCGCATATGTAGTTATGCATAGTTCGTTGTGCACGGGCTGCTGAACCACAGTGCTTGCCCATGAGAAGAGTGGTGAGCTCGCGAGTCATGATGCGAGGACTACTAGAAGCAGCTTAAGACCGTACGAAAGCCATCGATGAAAGATGGCAAGGTCAGGCCGAAGGACGCGACGAAAGAGACAGCCGGCGACGTTGTCAACAGTACTTTAGGCAGAACAAGGGAGCGGTTAGACGTGCCGGTCGATTGCGCCGTGATCTCACTTAGAGATCTGTGGGCGAAGTGGAGAGCGATGCCATGCGTGAGTGATTGATTGACAACTTTATCACTGGAATGCGAAAGTGTTTGCAATAACGAACAGCCACGCGTTGCGAGAAAAGATGCAGGTCAACATTTGGAGCTGGTAGCAGCGCAGCAAAGCATTATCGTTGCCGCATGGCAGCGAGTGGGAGTCACTGCGCCTTGCCGTCGAAGACTGTTTTGCGATTTGACGTTAGATACGCGATGCAACAGGTCGGTGCTTAGCGGGCCACCTTTTTGCCAAACGAGTGTCTAGTAAAGACCATACTGGTAATCCACTTTTGCCTGTCTGCAACGTCGATGCAAAGGTGTTTGGCTTCATGTAGAGACTGTGGATTGTTCACTCAACCCTTCGTGTTGACCAGCAAGTACGTCGACTCAGTTTTGATGCTTCCTCCGAGAATTGCACTATGACTGACGGCCAAGGCAGGATAATGTGACCACAGTCAATTAATGCGACGCTCATTCATTAAGCTCATGTACCATACTGCACGGAGTTGCATGTACAGCTCGATGTCGGCCCGACACTCCCTGAAAAGCCGAAGTTACGTCGCAGGACGTCTTTTTCGCTCTTCGCAAAGGCGATCGATCATCTTGAGACTAGCGCAAGTTTGATCTCACAGTACCCTGTGTACAGACACAACCATTTGGGCCTTAGGTGGTGCTTGCAATGGGGCGCACTTCTTCCCAGATGACTGGTAAGCCCTTGTATTGTAACAGTGCAAGGGTGTGTGCTCCCAAAATCATACGTGCACCGTCCGTGCAGAGGAAGAATATTACCTGAGCAAGAATTTGCTTAGAGTCAGCGAAAAGTATGCCTCTATCTTTGACGTAGTAAAGCTCCTCTAATAATCTATTTGTAAGTTACTTACACAATATTACACTACAAACTTCCAATACAGAATCTCACTCACCACCCGTTGCGCGCGTCCAGCAGCGATAAGTCAATTATTCCGTAAACTTCATGGCCCATATCACCCGATTGTAAAGCTATGCCTAATATTATGTCAAAGGTAATATTCCGACAAGATTGACTCGCAAGATAAAACGGCATAATATTATCACTTAGAATAATATTTACATTGACACAACTCGGGCTTATGACGTGTGACAGGCTCCTCCCGTTACAGCTGGGACCCGATCCTGTAATTTGCCACATAGTGAAAGTATTGCAAAAGACGCTGCAGGACAGAAAATACCCTTGAGCTGCATTTACAACGTTTGGGCGACATGTGACATCTTACACCAGCATACTAAGCTTGATCGTTACGGGTCGATGCTGCGCAAGGATTCAGACTCGCGAAGTCGGCTCTTTTCGCTTCGGGTTGCAGCGCAACACGAAGACGAAAGACAAGAAGGTCATAATGAGTGTATTCAACAAACGGCGTCATGAAACAGAATAACGTATATTCGGTTTACATGCGGAACTCGCTCCCTTCAGACCCATCTGGGCATGTCTCTATTACATATGAACTACTCTGGCACAAAATAACCCTTACGCAATTGAGACATGCCCACCACATGTCCTGTTTGCAGCGTCAACATGTCGCACAATCAGCACGGCACGCCGTGGGAGCCATTCTTCGGGATATGCAGGCAGTACTTTGTCGCCACTCCACCAATCGTAACATCTTCGTACCGGTCAGCGAGGACCCACTTGTCGTCGTGCGTGTGGTATTGCAGCTTCAACGAGTCCGTGGTCGCCTCGATCGATATGAACCCGTACTCGGTCGGCTGGGCATTATACAAGTGCTCGACGAACGACTTGGCATAGTCCGGGGTCGTACTCGCCCACTCCTTCTTGGCCCCACCACCGATGCCATTCTCCACAAAGTACGTGTTGATCGTCGTGACGAGTTCGAACTTCAAGCCGTGCGTGTGTCCATACAGTTGCACAAGGATACCAGCCTCCCCAAGAGCTTTCAGCCACTTATTCATGTCCTCCTGGTTAAAGTGCTGGATCGCACTGTAGTGGGAAGCGGCGATCTTCCACGTGGCGGTCGACTTGGAAGCGTACGCGACCATCTGCCTGCGCGAATCATCCGACCACTCGACGAACCTCGCCATGCACGCGTCGTACATGGCAGTGTCTCCCCCGCAGCAGTACTTGTCTCCACGTTGGATACTGTTGCATCCACCGTCATCACCTCGGGCGTAGCCGTAGCACTGACAGCAGATTCCATGGGAACCGGCCACAGATGCGTCGTTCATGTCGAGATTGTAGACCTCGACACTGACTCCCGAGGCAGCGTCCTCGTAGCGGCGGATGTAAAAGTGCTCGTCCACCGACCAGCGGTTGTTGCTCAGACTCTTGTAGTCGCCCATCCACCGCAACTTGTTCTCGAGACCCTGAAGTAGTTCGGCGGTGCTGTTGCACTGGGCACTCTCCGTGGAGCCCGCGCAGATGAAGGCGCCTCCGCCATAGTCATGGTTGCCCATCAACGCGAACATGGGAGTGTTTTTGAGGTTCGCGCCGCCGTACGGCACCTCAAACGCGTGCGAGAATTGCTCGTCACGGGTCTGTGGGCTGATTACGCCGTTCCAGTACATGTTGTCGCCCAGGCCAATGATCGCTGCAGGTGACGGGCCTTGTCCAGCTTTGATGTTCATCAACTCCCCAACGATTCGCTGAGCGTGGACGTCGAGGTTGTCATACTGTCCAAAGCAGCACGAACCCAAGTCTTTCGTCCTACCAAAATCACCAATGGAGTAGAACGTCACGGGTTGACCAGGCGCCGTCGAAAACACCGAGATGGGGTCCTTGCCATTCGGCACAGCTGCCGTCGCAAGCAGCGCCATGGCGACGAGCGGAGCGAATGAAGTCAGCATCTTGCGGGTGTTGTTTCTGAGTACTCGAGACGAAGCAAAACGAAGAATGACACTGCACTCGAGGACTCGACTGATTGCGGCTCGAGTCACACGTAGGTCTCCTGCGCAATGCTTTGGACCGTGACCCCATCACTGCTTGCAATCTCGAACGGGGTTTTCCATCGCGTCCGGGAGCTCTTTTACCCTAGTTCAAGCATATCGCTAGCAGCTCTTCTCTTCCGCGGTCGCTCTCTCCTGGAAATTTTCAGCGCATCGATCGCGATAACGTCGAGATGTACATTATGGCAATCGATCGGCTTCTTCTGCTGCAGTCTTTCTACGAGCGACTGGTTATGATGTCCACACGTGACCCGACAAAGACCACTACTACTAATCACAGCACACGAGTGAAACGATATCGTGGACGAATTCTTTGCATTTCGGCGTGGCGAACGAACTCAAAGCGCGACTTCCACGTCCGTAAACAACGTGCGCAGCAAGTGCGCATGCGCATGCGCATGGGTTCGCCACGATTACGCATACATGTCGCTCGTTCAGTGTCCTACAGTGCAGCGTCCTACCGTGGAATCAGCAAAGACGTTGACGTGACGATACTTGTCGCAGCTCAGGCTGGCGCATCATTGGGGCCACGAGCTTTGCTGAAGTGGCCCACGGGTCTGATCCACCTGCACGCCGATCGCCAGAGCCACAGTCTATGTCACTGACGACAGCGAACGTTCCAACGTGGTGGAGCAACGCCGTCTTGATAACCTGACGGTTCGATTGCGTTATGTCCTTTGCTAATCGTGTTTTACACGTGGAACACCGGATGCAGACACGTGGTTTCTACAACGAATGTCGACTACCTCTCTGTGCTGCAACATAAAAAGTAGTATTTAGGGTGAAACTACTACTCAAATGAACCTATAAATTCCCTCACAAACCGTTCGCTCAATCTAGATCATTCGAATACCACTGACCTTGCAAGTTGCCCTTTTCACGACGCGCCCATCCCCGTCGTCACTCGTGATCCTCTACAATTCCTACGAGCTAACGGATTGTGGTGGTCTCAAGTACGTCTAATATTTCTGACGGCTGTCACCAGTCTCAGTCGCCATAAGGCAGCGGGGCCGGATGGTCTCAACAATGACTTCTACAAAGATACACCTGCTCTCCTCGTTCCAGCTCTTGTAGCCATCAGCAACCAAATTTTGGAAGGCGCCGACCCACCGCCCTCCTTTCTCGAGGCCCTAATTATCCCCTTACGGAAGAAGGGGAATTCGACAGATGCCATGGACTATCGGCCTATTTCCCTACTGCAAACAAGCTACAAGATCTTTGCCAAGGTTCTGGCCACGCGCTTGCAGCGCGTTCTACCGCAACTTATTGGGCAGTCGCAGCAAGGTTTTGTTCACGGCAGGCAGATGATGAAGCTCGTGATGATGATGTTGGCTCAAATAGCCACGGCTCGGCACGATGAGACTCGCACGGCTCTCCATAGCCGTGCCATCCTTTTACTCGACTTTCGCAAGGCTTACGATACGGTCGATCGAGACTTTTTGTATGAGGCGCTACGCAGCTTTGGTTTCGACGAACGTTATATTCAGCTTATTAATCGGCTGCATGCAGGGACGACGGCATCGTTTCTCGTCAATGGTGAGCTTTCCAAGCCTATCCCCGTGGTATCAGGCATTCGACAAGGGTGCCCACTCGCCCCTCTTCTTTTTCTATTGGCGGTCGAGCTCTTGGGGCTGGCCATTCACCAATCTCCTGACCTGAGCGGTCTTCCGGTCCCAGGCGACGGGACAGGTTCTCATACCTTTTCCGCCTTTGTTGATGACTCGACCATATTTCTCGAGGCAGCACGACAGTTGCCGGCGGCGCTCCAGCTCGTGCAACAGTTTGGCGCTCTGTCCGGATTGCATGCGCAACCGGCTAAGAGCAAACTGATTTTCTTAAACCGCGCGATTCGATTAGTTGATTTCCACGGCATCTCGGTCCTTCAAGCGGGTGAGACCACGCGGTACTTGGGGTACGAGATTGGGACGGGTGATCTCCAACATCGCAATTGGGCGCTCCGAATTCGCCGGCTGCAGCGGCGTCTGCTCACGGCTTCACAAATATCGACCAGTGTTGCTTCTCGAGTACTCATTCTAAACGCCGTCATCTTACCGTCGATCCTGTTCACGGCGGCCGTTTTTGAGATCCCGTCATGGGCCAGCAAAGACATTCAAAATCTCTACAAACAATTTTTGTGGGACCATTCGACCTCGACGGACGCGCGCCGTCATAAAATCAACCCTGGTTTGCTGTACACGCCGAAGAAAGCCGGTGGAGTTGGGCTAGCCTCGGTGGAGGTGGCCATCAAAACGCAACGGACCAAACACGCGCTGCGCTGGCTCACCCAATCGCACGACAAGTATTTTAATGCTTGGAGGTCCTGGGCGTACCAAGGCGGATCTACCGGTTCGGGTATGGTCATGCATACATGGCTGCGTAGCCGGGAACGGCCTTTACGCATCAGCAGGTCTTCGCTGGCTTTCGTGGCTAAAGATCTAGACTTGCTTCTTGAGCCGTCGGCGGCGCACGCTGGTCAACGACGGGATCGGACATCGTTTTTTCTTGATTCTCTCGTACTACAAGCGGTAAGTCGATGGATAGGGCGTGGCTGGGAACTACACTTTTCCACTACGTTACCTGACGAAGTCCCTCCTCCGGAGGGTTCTGATTATCAACTACGCGCGGTGCGTCAATTTTGGGGGACGTTTGGCTGGTCCGGCAATCCGTGGATCCGGGATGCTAAAGGTGTGAAGTTGTTGCACTCGAAGTTCAATCAAATAGCCGCCTGCTCTATCGCTGACCTGCACATTTGGAGGACGGGCCCGACCACCTATGTTTTCACCATCCCGCCCTCGCGGTCAGAGGGAGTCACGTATTCCCAGCCGAAGCTTCGCCGGTGGGCGACAGCAATTTTATTGGCGTCTCCGTTATGTACGGTCGGGTCAGAATTGGGCGTGGCGGCAGCATTATCTCTTCGGCATCCCCCCCCATTTCGTTATGAATATGACTGGGTCACTGTGAGTCGGGGTTGCGTCGTGGGAGCTCGCAGGAATTCACTAGAGGAGAGAGACGGAATGGTGCAGTTACGCCAGGGCTCCGATGGGCTGCATTGGTTGTTTCAAGACGGCCTACCCGAGCTCCACACGGCGTCGGACGGTGACAGCCAGCGATGGGCTACGCACATCCGGCAGCACGGCGTGGTCTTTTATGCTCACCCAAGTCACCACCACTTTGCGTGGGGAGTACCCGAAACGGTTCCTAATGGAGCTCTCCGTCAGGCTATTTTGCACCGGGCTTTCTCGCTGCACAAACACCGACTAACTCGGCCTTTACTACCCTTATTGGAGCGGCTGGATGCAGTCTATCGAGAGGATTCGTGGCTAAGGGCGGCGGCGCATCAGCAACCATCCCAACTTTGGAAACATGATAACGGACTCTCCGACTATCAAGTTTGGACGGCGTATCGAGTCGCCACCAAGCAGCTAAATTTTCATCATGCCGGGCGGGCTGCCGACCCCAGCTGCCGGGCCCTGCCTACGTGTCACGGGGTGCCCGAAACGTCGAGGCACGTCTTTTGGGATTGTCAGAAGGCGCGGGCGTGCTGGGCTAAGTTCATCAGCCATTGGATCGGCGCTTCTGTGTCGAGTGCGGTAGTCCATAGTTGTCTCAGCAACTGTGCGAATCGACAGGCTCCGGCGATCCCGGCGTTTCAGCGGTCTCGGTTGCTCGAGCGGTTTCACGATGATGCCGCAGCGGGGGAAAAGGTGTGGCGACGGATTTGGTTTTTAATGTGTTCCGTTTGCATTACGCATTTATGGAGCGAGCGCAACGATGCCGTGTTCAGAGGCGTGCAGTCTACGACGGCTCAAAGTGTCGTCCATTTCTGGACAACCGGCGTCCGTCAATTAACGGCCTTGGCTATGCGTGAGCATAGAGGGGCGTCGACAGTTCTTCGAGGGGCTCGATTACATGCCTCCCTTGAACTTTTTACTCTTGAGGCTAGCGGAGTTTCGCTACCACTAGAGAGGTGCCTTGATCCACCGCCGCGACCGGCGCTGTATTCTAGGCTTAGAAGATTTCAGACTTCTAGCGCGTAACCATCATGTGCAATAGACAGTCATGAATCTCTCTCTCTCGTACGTCTAATATTTCAAATAATTAACGGCTGAACGTGACATGAAACACGACCTGTAAACTGTACCTACCACGTGGGTGCTCCAAAGAGCATGGGCGAGGGCAGCAAAAGGTCAAAGACCTCACAACCCAAGCCAGGTTCGAGCCTATCTCGTAAGTGAGAGAAGTTGAGGCACATTCGGGTGCGCAAACAACCCACTACATCCGGCTCTCTTAGCCACTCTCCAGCGATGTGTACTCGTACCGCCCCTGCGCGGGGATCGATTCACGTGCCTCCTGGTCAGGTGCCAGTGCTTTCCACGCAGCCACCCGGGGTGGTAACCTATCTTTCAAGTGCTCTTAGTATAACGCTGCCCTATGCAGCTGCAGGCGTCCAGGCGCCGAAATAAACGCCCGACAGAATCGGGGGCCGCAAGCGCGGTCAATTGACCTAAAACGCGAGTCGCCGAAGCGACGTCGCACGTCGTTAGAATGCCACCTGGCGCAGCAGCAGTCCCTGGTGTAGTCGCTCAAGCGACCGTTCCAAACGGGATGTCGCGATCGCCGAAGCGATGACGGTGGCGTGGGGACGCCACCGATCGTTTACCTCCCCGTGACGACGTCCCGCGCAATTGTAACCCGCGCGATACGTATGCCCAAGACAGACCCCACCAACTGCAACTCCGGCGAGGGAGGATTCCCGCCCAAATCCTCCCTCGCCGGAGTTGCAGTTAATGGGGTCTGTCTTGGGCATTGGGCGCCCGGAACGAGGCTGGGGCTTAATGTGACCTGTGCGTGACTGTGTATATTTGGGAATGGAGCTGCTGTTGGTTGTTGTCAGCAGCTTC